ATATTATAAGTAATTATCTACGTAACATACTTTAACTTTTGGCAGATGAAATGGCCAAACAAGGCCCACCAACAGGGTTGCTGCGAGAAAATTTTTGATTGTGCAGAACTTGACCATAAAAATGTGTAGCATTGTATACCCATCCATGACCAATAACTGTAAACTATCCAATAAGACGTACGTTTGCTAAATTTTAAAGCATGATTACGTGTCTCACTTGCACTCGTTTGTATACGTCAATATATTCATTTCCTATTTCATTTCCTCTCATGCCAGCAAGTATTGCAGTGACATCAAAATTGATTACAGTTGAGGGTTGGAACCTTTGGTGTTACACAGCAAAATAAAAACACTAAATCACCACAATACACCAAAACACTTTTACTTTTACACTGGACGCTTTTATTTTTTTTTTGCGATCAAAATTGATGTCGCGAAACTAACGGTTTTATGGACAAATTAGACCGGTTAATTCTATTTAAAAACTGTAAACTATTCAGGACTGTTTAATCGGCCAAATAAAAAAAAAGTCCATAGAAACTGCAGTCCTTGCTGTCATGGGAGGAAGTGAAATAGGAACTGAATAATATTCACGTATTCAAACGAGTGGGAAGTGAGACTATGAACTACAGTGACGTAATTGAGCAGTGAAATTTGGCCAAAGTATTATGTATTATTTAAGGTTAAGTTAATTTTACTGAACACCCGAACACTGATGACGGAAAATGATATTTGTCAGTTCAAAATTTAAAGTACACTTGTGGCCTCTTTTGATGTATTAACTTCGATAACATAAAAGCAAAAAAATCAGCTTTTGTCAGCTGATTTACTGTTCTGCTATTATTTTTTATACGAAATATGTAAATTCTCAAAATGTGTAGCTCTAGCTCAAGCAAATGTGTAGCAAACTACACAAGTGTGTAGCTTGTAGCAACCCTGCTCACCAATGTTATTCATAGGTCCAGAACCATTCAGTCACGAGAATGACTGAGAACAAACGGCAAATGACACAAAACGGTGTTTGGCCAATAAATCTCTAAAATGGTGGAGAAATTCACCAGGGAAGAGGCAGACAAAAAATTCAAAGTTGAACATTCGCCAAAATCCACAAAAGACCTAATATTATATGATAGTATTTTTTAAGATTTTTATCAAATCTAAATATAGATCCATTTATTTCATTTTAATTATTGTTTAGACTATCAAATGACCGACTTTTTTGCTGGGAATTTAATTTAAAGCCAAATGGCACGGCCCGGAGGGTTTATTAGGCGCGGAATTGACCTCCCTCCCTAAATCCCTAAAGCACTAAAAGCATGTCGTCGCCGTTGGTCTAAACCGGTGATGAAATTTTAATTGAAAATTTAATAAACGACCGTCAAGGTCCGACCTAATGACCAAAACGACGGGCATTCTAAAAGGTAATTGTGGCTATGGTATTATTTAATATACCGACCAGTATGTTATTTTGTGTCTCTCTTTGAGGCTATTTAGGAGAACGACGTCCATCTCAGAAAAGAAAAAAAAGTCATATAAATAAGATAAACAAATTTTTCAACAAATCTTTCAAGATAAAGCTGATCTCTAGGATAAAATTGCACTACAACTTTTTGTTTAAAATGTTAAAAGTTAATCTTAATTTTTTCTCAAATTTAGAGTAAAAGTGGTCTTATAAAAAGGAATAAAATGTGCATAGAGATGTAACGTTTTTTATAAAACATTACCACTGCGATAAGGTATTTCACTGGAAAGAAAACTAATCAATAACAATAAACAAAAAAATATAGATATTGGGCGCCAGGCATGTACAGAGAAAGAAAACACAGTTGTATATTACTTAAAACTAATGACTATATTTATTCATCATGTTCTTTGCTGGTACATGACATTATAGAGTTCTAATAAATATATAGTGGTTATATGTCAAAGAAAGTGGTGTTAAGAGTTGTACTAAATATCTATGAAAACAACTATGATAAAATAGAAGACATATAAAGTTTAAGAGAATATATGAAATGTAGCATTTGCATCGAAAATGTTGCAACCCGTAGATTCTAGAATCTATGTTTGGTTATTCATCTGTTAAAATAGTGCAATAATAATATCTATGAAAGTAATACCATTACAAGACGTAATGTAATGAAACCTAAGATCTAAATCATATTTTAAATATTAAATCGACATGAATGTTCTTAACAATCTAACCACTAAACATAGTCTGTACGATATTACTTAAGATGTACGTTATTGTTTAAGACTGAAAATGTTTTAGATGTTAAATGTAAAACTAGAACTTAAATCTACACTTAGCTGTTCTTTATGTAAGCTTGCTTCAAACAGTAACAGCTTGAGGTGGGCTCGCATCTCTGTACTCGGCCATCCAATACAACAAAAGGGGGCCAGAATGAGGACATCATGAATTCATACAGCCGTAACTACTAACTAGCTTATAGATGGGAACGAAGCAGCATGGGGCTCAAGCTACATCCACGCTAGGGCACTTTATATGTAAGAAAAATCATTCCTACTGGGGACTCGTCCACAGGACATCCGTACATAGTATAATGGTACAAGGGAACACTACCCGTGCCTTGGACCATAACCTAGGACTATAACCTTGGATACTGTCCATAAGATAACGGTACAGGGGAACACTACCCGTACCTTGGAGCACTACTAGGACCTTGGATAATGCCCGTACCTTGGAATCAATACATAGATATGGGACACCTGCCCATACCTTGGACACAGTCCGTCCATGAGACCCTCGAAACACTTCCGAGGGCTCAATAATAAACAAAAGAACTGTCCTTTCTTCCATTTAACATTCTGGAGGACAACAGCAAAAGTAGAACAACGTGTCAGCAAAATACAAACGAGTTAAGGTGGGTCAATCCAAAACTCTACCCTGTAGCTTCGAAATGGCAGCTGCTTCAGATTTTGCAGCAAGATTTAAATTGCCATTTCTAAAAGCAGGATTTGCAACCGTGCCGCAAACCGGCAAAAAACAAAGTGAGGTTAAAACGCAGAGCGGCGCCTTGAGAGGATCTTGACAGCGCGCGCCTCCACAGAACAGTGAAACGATAACAGGGTTGGCGACTAGGGAACGTAAAAATTACGCCAAGCGTGCCAAATAAATTATCAGGCCTGAACGATCGGAATCCGATGACGATACGCCAGACATCATATATATCATATATAAAAAATACATGTAACGAACTAAAAACGTTACAGAGAATTGGCACATTTTTTTGAAATTAAGGTAATTGTTAGAATATGAAGTAGTAATACCAGTGATTTTTAAGAATCTATTACGCTCTACTTTCGAGTCGCTCTCAGGGAACGGGTACAGCGAGTGTGGTCGAAGGAAATATATATTATATTTCAGAAATATTTCTAAGACTACCCGATCCTGTCGTGTTAAGCCACGCCCAAAATTCCAAACACACGTGCTTTGATTAAGGCTTGATTAAGGTTTGAAGAGCTTCAGCATTTGTCATAAAATAGTGAGCAATTTGTTACAAAACCATATAAATTATATATCACTGTAATCACAAAACTTCAATCTATTTTCGTATTGTAACGGAATTTTAAATTAAGTCTTTATTTTCGAGAAAATTTAGTCCAAACATAAGGAATATTTTATTGATGTTTGACCATCAAAATCTTAAAAATAAAGAATTTGTCTAAAAAAGTGCTACAATACGGATATAGTATAATCCTTTATCTTTAATTTCCTTCTTCATTGTGTAAAAATACCTATTCAATTTTACATTAAACGTTAAATGCCGAACGCTTATTTTGTTACTTTGACTGACTAGTGAAATGGACTCTTAAATCACGTCGCAAAAACTAATAGTTTTGTGACGTTTGAAAAAAAAAAATTGTGCTGATCTAAAAATAAAATTCCCTATTATTTACATTTTAATTTTATCTCATTCTTACCCTCACCCCACAGAAGACTAATAACCACTTTGCAAAGTACTCGCAGCACAGCAATAATAAGTCAACAACTTGCCAAAACAAATTACCCTTTGTCTCATAACGTTTCAACTCCGGCAAATAGGCCTTTTAAACTTCCTTCCCTCGCAGATCGACGATGTCGTAAGTTTTACAAGAAACGCCCTTAGTCATCCCAGCTGCCCCCGGGTAAATGTAATTCGTGAGTCGTCTTTCGAAAGTTATGAGTCGTCTAAGAAAGTTTCCCACTCGACTAACAAGCGTTAAAAGTTAGTTGAAATGCGTCTGAACTCGATGATGGTATCGAGTTAAGGACAAATATATGCGAGGGAATGATAATATTTATATAGTAGTAATAAGTATGATTAAATAGATGTGATGGAATATTGCTGTGTGTTCTGAATCTGATAAAATTGACTTAATTACGAGACAGAATCAAATTTAAATTGGAATTTTTATTTTATTTATTACTTTAGCAATTTCGAAGTACAAATAACTAATAATTAAATATTAACATAACTAACATACATATGAATTCAAAGGTAAACTATATTTTTAGTAATTTTTTGAATATAGTCTGTCGAGATCTTCCGTGACTTGTAGGACAAACTTTATCTTTATTTATTGTGAAGCCATCTTAAAAGCAAATTAGCAATATAAACCAGCCATTAGAGCATATAGCAAGTCAAATATTCTATATAATTTGGAATTATTAATTATATATATGTCAAACTATCGATTCATCCCCAAATATCGGGAGATTTTAAATGTTGTAGGTAGTAAATATGACTATTACTTAATCGTTGATATATTTTATACTATATTTAATTATTCATTAAGATGTTTCAATAACCTACATCAAAAATATATATTGCTTAAAAATGTTACTCGTATAGGTACCTGAAAATATGTATTTCGTTCAAGCTAATTCAATAAAGGAATCTGATTCGGTAGTTATAGATTTAGTTTCATAGCACATAACGATATATTTTTTAATGAAATATTCTAATTTGTTCTATTTCCTTTTTTTATTCATGCAGTCCACAGGAGGAATATTCCCATTACGAAAGTCAAAACCAAACCAAGAACTAATCAACCTAAACGTGTTCAGTTTGTTAGTAAGTATATTATTTGTTCTATTACTGTGTTTTATTTTATCTATTATTTATTTATATCTTGCTGTTGTATTTTTCTATCATTTATTTAATAAAGCACCTTTTATTTTTATTCTTGTAGTGTTTTATTTTATTTTAGCTTTGTTCTGTTAATGAATTCACGTAATTAATTAAAAGGCATCTCAAAAAAGTTGTCGCACTGCAGTTTGGTAGTCTGTCTAGCTCTCTCCGTTGTTTTTATTATATTTTATTAGCTTTTCAGTAAGAATGGCTTCTTGCCACGAACACAGCACCCTTTCACAGAATTTCTAGCTTAATATTAATGATGCAAAGTGATTTGCAGTATTGTTTAACTAGGTCTAGAAATGCATTCTAACAATGAATATTTTAGTTGCATTAGTTTGACATTGGAATTCATTTATTTATTGCATCAAAGTGGGTAGAATATTTTTTTACGCCTCTCATTTTTTACTCTAATAATTGATTTATTCTTGTTTTTTTATGATGTTGACATTTCTGACGCCTAATCGAATTGTTTTCATTTGTTTGACATACATTTGGAATTGATACCGTATAATCCAAAAAACGGCATCATGTTGGCTGGGAAATAGCGATCGATAACATTTAAAAATAATTTTTTTTCATTTCTAAACTAACTTTAAAGTTTGGTTTTTCGATTGTATGGTATTTTTCATAACTTTTTTTTTAAGTTTTGCTAGTAGTTTGAAGGCTAACCCACCCAACATAGTAGGGGAATTGGAATATTTTTAAACTTTCTCTGTTACTTAACTATGACGAGTCTGGCACTCTTTTTCGAAAAAGGTTTGGTCTCTTGGACCTGTCATTTTCTGTAGTAGTAATAAGTTTTTGCGAAGAATGGATTTTTTTTTTGTTAGACAAAGCTACTATTGTTTGGTGCATCTATTTTCGCTTATTTTTTAGTTATTTTTTACCACAGAATACACTTTTTGGCGTTTAAATAGATTTAGAATGCCTTACTAGTACTTATAAAACGTCCATTATAGTTTTTTTGGCACCCATTTTTTGTGTATATTTTATATTTTTTTGTAATTTACCGACAACAGTTGGTTTATTTTGTTTTTTACCAGCTAAATCAACTGTTGTTATGTGGTATCACAGACCTACTTATAGTAAGTCTGTGGTGGTATTAAATTCAATACTAAGACCGATTTTTCTGTGGGGTACCTGCAGTAATCGTACCCCAGAAAAATGAGTCTGCGTCTGGGAATAACTGCGCAGTACTACGTGGGTCATACGATGGTAAGTACCCAAAAATTTAAAGTAAAGTTAGAAGTAATGTTAGACGAATTCTTTTTATAGTCTATTCCTAATTTGTTAATCGTTTAAGTTGCTTATAGTATAAATTAGCTCATTAGCATATTTGGAAAAAGCATTTTTTACGAATAATTTGGTACCACACGATGGTATTTCAAGTCAAATTGTCGTTATGAATCACATGTTACAATTTCAAATAAACCATATGCGAAAATGTCAAAATTGACATATGATATGTCATTCTATTCAGTGTAATTTTCTATCGCATAAAGTAGAAATATACCGAGGGTGCCATTTAAAAATCAAAAGTTGTGGTCATTTTCGGTGAAACAGGAAGTGACCAAAAACAATTGAGTACGTCAATCAATCCTAATTTATGTCATATACTAATATACCAAATCTCGTTTTTTTATCTGAAAAAATAAAAATTTATAGAGGTTAATTCATACCTAATTTTCTAGTAAATAATAAATTTTTCAATCGATAATTAGATATACTATCGGTACCAATCATTAATCCTAAAAATTTTTAAAACAGTATTGCCAACTATTCCAGACATTGTGGATCCCTCTGTATCAATAAATTGAATAATCACCTTAAATCGGTCTCTAAATGAATGAAAACGCAAACAGAAAAAAATGTGAAGGTCGTATCTTATTTCTTTTTTCTGTTGTCATTTCGAAAAGTCCGTTAAACCGCATATTAACTCGGCGTTCTAACGACAATTTAAAAGGTAAATAACACTGCCCGTTTAGGAAGTAAAATTAATGCCGCATGAATCAGAAACGTCCGTCGTCGGTTACTTGAGTCTCGGTCAGACGAAAAAAATCTTTCTCAATTTTTGCGTCTAACGAACACGTTTGAAAACGGGAACTCAAGGTGAGCAACGGCCAAACATCGTTTAAGACCGTTTGGTTTTCCATTTTGCGGTCGAGATGCATCTGGGAACGAGAGTAGCATTGCATTTTAAAGAGGTTGTTTGATTGTTAGCGCTTTAGAGAGAGAAAAAATAGATATATGGGTGTTTAATATACTGTATGGTCTTGTATAAATACAGGATGGTCGGTCTTATTTCTCATGACAAAGGCCCAGCTGGCAAAGGAGTACGACAGGGAGACGCAATATCGCCAAAGCTGTTTACAGCAACATTCGAAGAAATCTTCCTTCAACTGGACTGGTACAACAAAGGGTTAAAAATAGATGGAGAAGATCTTAATCATCTAAGATTCGCTGATGAGATAGTCCTAATTTCTAATAGTCCTGAAGAATTAATGAACTAAGTACAGCGAGCAATAAAATGGGTCGCGAAATGAAATTAGCCAAAGCTAAAGTAATGTACAACGAACTAGTTGAAAGAAAAGACATTCTAATAAATAATACAACATTGGAAATAGTAGAAAAAATAGTAGATTTGGGACAACTAATACACAGCTCGGGATCTCTACTACCAGAAATCAACAGAAGATTAAGTTAGCATGGAGTACTTATGGAAGAAACTCAATCATATTCAAATCTAGAATGCCACTCTATTTAAAAAAGAAAACATTTGATCAAAGTGTACTACCAGTCATGACCTATGCATGCGAAACCCGGACACTTAAAAGGGACGTCATAAGGAAACGGCAGGTTCACTGTGGGGAAAATGGGGAACACCAGAACACTTCATCACTGAGTACGCCAGACGATTCGTGCTATAACCTTTGGTACGACTGATATTAGAGATGGGGAACTAATCTCTGTAAATCTCTCTCAGGCACTGGCTTTTGTCAAAGCCCTGAGACTGTATGATGAGTTAGAACTCAGAGTCTGCAGCAAATGCTTCCTTGATACAGGTTAAGCTTGTTCAGATGGCACTTCATAGCCACAAATGTATCCTATCAACTGAGTGTTTATTCCTTTTCGGTTTTAGCATTATATATCTTTGGACATAATTTCGTTACCATGGAAGGCCTGCATGAGTACTTAAAGTCATTCTTATGCAGACTCGGTAGTTATTTGACCTGACTATTTTTCATTCCTCTGGCCATGTCCTGACCAGTGTCCTTATCTAAGATCCATTTATTTTGAATATTCAGGCTTCGTGAGAATAATCCGCACGGTGGGGTGGGTCTGATATAAGTTCAACTATTTCTAGGGGTGATACATTTCAATACCTGAAACACTATTTGTTTTTCGAAAATACAAATTTTTATTCTGCAATTTTTTTAATTTTCAAGTAAAAACTTATCAAAATTTAAATAATTTTTTTTTCTAAACTAGTTGGAGCCTGGCGCATCCGCCATGACATCAGGAAAAAAAATACTTTTTATTTTTTTTTAATTAAATGAAAAACAAAAAATCCGGCGACGACAGTTTTTAGAAGAGCGGATTAGCTATCTTTTAGTAAAAAAGGCAACTTTCTAGAGCAAGTCGTTACTTCAATAGAGACGACACTGATAAGCATTAGCATTTTATATATGTAGATATTCAACTCTGCTATGTTAAACTTACTTGAAAAACGGCAAAGAGAAAATATATTTCTTTTAGCGAGATCTACCTGCCATTTTTTTTAGAATTTAGAATGAGTGGGAGGGGGGTTAATCACTTCGACCTTACAGATCCATTGTGTCCCCCTTTCTTGAATCATAACTCATCATACAGTCCCAGGGCTTTGACAAAAGCCAGTATCTGGGACGGTTTTATAGAGGGTAGTTTTCCATCTCCAATATCAGTCGTACCAAAATTCATGGCACGAATGGTTGTCGTCTCGGCGCACTCAGTGATGAGGTGTACTGGTGTTTCCCCATCTTCCCCACAGAATCTGCATTCGCCGTTTCTTCTTAGTTTCAATCTACTGAGGTGTTCATTGAGGAGACAGTGTTCTGTTAAAAACCCCGTGACAATCCGAAGATTGTTCTTACTCAGACCCAGGAAGATCTGTGATTTTTCTTGATCATAAGCCCTCAGAAACTTCTTCGAGTGTCTTAGACCATTGCAAGATGTCCATTCCAGGTTGCGGATGGAATCTTCCAAGTTCTTGAGTTCCGCCTTGGGTTGGTTACCACTTGGAAAGCAGAACGGTTCTGGTCCAGTTAGTGGAGTGTTCGCTCCTTTCCTAGCTAGATTATTTGCTTTTTCATTGCCTTCTATCCCTTGGTGAGCAGGCACCCAGTGTAGGAGGACTTTGTTTTCTTTGCCTAATTTATTCAGCTTCTCTATGCATTCTTTGACCAATTTCGAATTGATTGATACTGAGTTGATCGCCTTTAACGCTGCTTGACTATCAGACAAGATGGCTATTTCTTGTTTCCGATAGTTCCTATCTAAGATAAGTCTAATCTACCTGTCATAAAAATGTTTGCCCTTATGTATTTAAGAGTCGCCGAGATGGTAATAGCTTACCATCGCCTATATAGTTGAAAAACCGCAAATTTGCCAGGCTATCGCAGTGAAAAAATATGCCTGTTGTTATGCCAAAATGCCAAAAATATTCTGCTGTTTCTTCTTCTGGTTTCCAGTATCTGTACATGCTGGCTTTATCTTTCAATTCCATCAGCTTTACAAGCCTATTGAGCTTGTATTGCCCTATTAGACCACTACAGTTTTGACAGTCTTCCTGTCTTTACTGATCAAGTCTGCTGAAAATTTTGAGTGTTCTATTGTGAACTATTTCGTCTGCCTCTGTCCTGGTAAATTTTTCTAATTATTATGTTCATAATTAGAAAGAAGACCATCCTGTATTTATAAAAGACCGTACAGTATGTTCATCATCATCATATTCAGTTTATTTAACCATTTCCAATTATGGTGTAGCCTCCTTCACATACTCTCTTTGTAGTTGGGCCCATTGTTGTCTACTGTTGGCTATGCGGGCCCAAGCTATCCCTGCTAATCTCCTAATATCATGATCCCATCTCAGGTTCGGTCTTCTTCTAGCTCTCTTAATTACCATGCTGTAATTTTTGTGGTCCATCTGTTGTCCGTTCTTCTTGCCAGGTGTCCTATCCATTGCCATTTGACTCTGTGGATGCCGTCTATTACCTGGGTCTTTTGTCGTATCCACTCTATTATTTTACTGTCTTTCTTGGTTATTCCCAGCATATTTCATTCCAGTGAACGTTGTGCGACCTGCAGTTTCCTTGTGATGTCCATTTTAAGTGTTCAGATTTCGCATGCATAGCAATTCTTCTGTATTGATTTCTGGTAGTAGAGCTGTGTATATTAGTTTTCCCAAATTTGTATATTCTTCTACTATTCCAATGTTGTGTTATTTATTAGAATGTCTTGTATTTCCACTAGTTCGTTGTACATTACTTTATTTTTTGCTAAATTCATTTTGAGACTTATTTTTTATCAAATATAACAGTTTATATAGTTAGAAAAAATAATAAAAATACCCAAAAGACCTTTTGAAGTCACGTGTGAAACCGCCAATCTGTATAAAAAAGATCGCCGGTTTGTTTAATCGGCTCTCTTTTCAAAGTCGACACAAAGGTAATCTATACAAAGCGTCGCCTGCTTTTGACACACGAACCGTATCGATCAGGAAAAAAAGCGACCTGCCGCCGACGGCGAACGACGATCGAGAAGGCTGGCGGCGTCGTGACGCCTCCAGACGACGAGGCGCCGACTGCGACTGGCCTAACCCTGGGGCCGTCGACGAGGTAAAATATTCAGGAGATACATGGGGAAAAGATTAGCCCAAAGGGGTTCCGAATAGGGAACAAAGAAAGGGGTTTTGTGACTGTTGTACGTAGTGCTGCTATTGATCTAGTTGGATTTCAAAGTCAAAAGCTGATTTAACAACATTCAAACTAGGAGAGTTGTTGAGTTATCTTTACTGGTCATCTTACACGATCATATATCTAGCAAAGTAGTCATTATCATGGTGAGATTGTTTAAATTATTCTAGTTTTTAATACCATCTCCTTAATGATGTGATAGATAGAGGAACAGCAGTCCAAAAGAACTTAAAGACTTAGGCTTTATTATACCTCTTCTAAATCCTTCTTCAGAGGACGTATATCTTCCAAGTTACCAGGCAACCTAATTTAGAAAAGAAGGTGACAATGTGAGTCACTACCTCATGGGTTTCATCTTTAAATCGGCTACAGTAGTAGAAGAAGTGACTTCCAATCCAATTATTTGTAGTGTGGGATTTACTGGCCATCAGCCTCATTTTCAAGCTGAAGAAGCGACAGTTGTACTAGGCTGCAGAGTCTTCCATAATCTTTATTTCCATTTCCTTAACTATTATTCGACGTCGGAGTGTTTTACCTTGACGACAAGAGACTGCAATAGGTAATAGACTTTCATCCTTGTCTTCAAGGTCTTGATTTTATCATCTCTGTCTGATTGTCTTTGGCATCATTCTGAAGTAATTCAGAACAAAGTCTTCGTTTGTTCGGGGCAATAGTAGACTTAAAATTCCTTTTTTGGAGGATATTGTGTGTTGTTTATATGTTAGTCGATTCTCTGTAAAGCTCAACCTTTCTCTTTGAAGATACATACATTTGGGGCGAATTAGCTTTTTTGGACTGGGCAGTAATAAGTGCCTAGTGGTTGTTGCTTCAGGATATTTGTGTCGTTTTTCTCATCTGACTAATCTTTCAACATTTACTCTTGGTGACTCGACCCTCAAAGTTATTTTTAGTTATTCTTACTTAACTAGCACTACCCTTTGAGGGATATCATCTTTTTGAGTAGGGGAGTTTTAAAAATACAAGTATGTTTTCATGTGATATCAAAATGAATAGAGCCCAACAAGTTGTTTTTTTGGTTTGTCTCTTAACTCAAGTATATTTTACAAATTTCTTTTTACAGAAGAATAGTTGTAGTGTTTAACGTCGAATTATATTGTAGAAAGAGTTATATGTATTAATATATATTATTGCCTCTGTCACTATCAGGAACTTATAAACAAGAGCTAATAAAAATAGTAAGTTTTAAACTGATATTTTGTTTTTACCACTATTCTGACCTTGTCTTTATTGAATCACAATATATTTTGCTTATTATAATCAGCTTTACCACCTTCGAATTCATCCATATTGTTTTTAACATTTCTGATGCATTCATTGTACCAATGTTGCAACAAAAATGTTAGAATAGACTATAGCCTACATGAAAAAAATCCTAAATAATCGATATTCGTTAACCCTAGAAGTAACTCAAGGTATTTTTCTTTTGGTTTTCTAGCTACGGAGGTGCGATGCCAGGAGAAGACGCGCGGCGGGGTGCGGTACGAGGTCATCCTGGGCGAGCCCGAGGTCAAGGCTGCGCCCCCCAAAAAGCCCCTGTCCCCCAAAAACTCCGTGTCGGTGCAGGACATCGAGGAGAAGCTCAAGGCCGCGGAGGAACGCAGACAGGTGGGTTGTATTGGTCATAGATAAAAGAATAAGTAATAGGTGAAGTGGCCATATCAGTATACAGGGTGTCCCAATCTTCCGTTGGCATAGAACTACTACGTATTTTTGGTTTGGTAAATAAGCTCATTAGATACTAATATTTGGCTTTCGCGAAAAGCAAGAAAAAGCACTTTGTCTTATGGAAACTAAGAATGCCATGACAATTTTGTTCGGTATCTTTGGGTTTCAAAAATCAGTAGCGCAGGATCCTGAAAAGCACAATGTTTTTGTTTTATACTTACTAATAAGCGAGATATCTCTCATTTGAAACCAAATTTGGGACCCTCAACAACAGTACAATAACATAATTTCATGAAAAACTAGGTAACCTGATGCAATAAAAATCGTTACTGTTATTTATATTGTCTAAAGATACATCATAATCTAAAATGCATAAATAGAAAGTAACTTTCGATATTATTATGAATATGTGTCATAAAAATTATTACTACAAATACTGCCTACGAACTGTTAAACCCACACCCACACTCATCTTTTAAAAGAAACTGAATTTAGAATGTTCCCTAATCCTTTTTATTGTGTATTATTGGTTCTTGACACACTTATGCTATTTTTAAATTGTGTTACAAATCGAACTAATCAATGAATCATTAAAATATAGTTCAAAGACATTTCTGTTTTTTTTTTTAACTTAAAAAATAAGAATTAATTTCATTAAATTTACAAAAATCCTTTTGTCTTTTTTTAAATTAGGATTAATATAAGTTAAAAATGTTGAGCTTTGAATTGAATAAATCATTTTTTATAAAGCCGAAGGGCTTTACCTTTTTTTCTTGAAAGTACACCTTATAAAAGAAAGACTAAATCTAATCCAGAGGCAATTTATCAAGAAAGGAGTATTAAGAATAAGACTTTTTCATCATAAATTGCCCGAAGAAGGTTTTTACTCCCTTTAGATAGTTTTTTTTTATTTTGGCACGAAAAAAGCCCTTCAAGATTTATAGAGATAAATTTACTTATAGAGGCAAGAAAAGATGTAATAAATTATTGTAGGCTACAGAGGCTGCTTTTGGTAAAAGTATTTTTCCTGTATCTAAAAACAGCGCTATTTTTTAAGTTATAGAGTTTCATCATGTTTTGTTTAAGGCTATTTTTTGTTTAAGTAAAATAATTACTTTCCCAATCCTAATATTGGTATAATACAACCCTTGATGAATATTATTACTGTAATATATACATATTATTACATCATGTTCGTAGGTACATAGAATTTTTTTGAAATTATAATATGATACAAGTGTCTTCTTTGCATAATGTCTTACTCATATACAGGGTGGTTCACTTTATTATATATAGACAGTCCATTTTTATTTTTTGAAGAATAATGTACATATGTTAACAGAGCCCAGGTGTTCAATTTTCTAAAAAAATATCTAATATATTTTATACCTCAATTTCTGGAGGTAAAAATGTACACCAAATGTGGTATACCAAGCGATTTGGATGTTATAGTTGACATTTTCTCTCAAAATAGATAGAATAATAAATTTAAAAAAAACTTTATTACTATTTCATTTTAGTAATGTTGATTTTATTATTGTTACAGCAATTAGAATCTTCTAAGATTGCTGCTTTGTCAGCAAAGATGCAGAAAATTGAAGAGGCCAGTCGCAAAAAGGACGAACAGACCACTCAGTTCATTACAGCTACTCGCGACGCTTTGGAACAGAAAATGGGCACAGTTACCGAGAAAAGAGAAGCTTATATCAGCGACTTAAAGACCAAACTTAAGGTAACTATAGATTTAGGTACAGTAGGTATTTAAAGTTAGCTACCTATCTAAAACTAATTTTGTGACTATTTTATCAAACGTATTAATTTTGTTTTTTTATTGTCATAATAATTGTCCAAACAATCTATTTTTTGGGTCTTGAAATAAAACGTTTCAACGGATATTATATCTTACTCCATTGTTAGAAGCAAAAATAAACGAATTCATTTAGTTCTTTAACATTTTTTTATAATGTTAACAAATTGAAGGGATTAGTTTATTTTTATAGTAATATAGAAACAAGTTATTTAGAAATATCTTTATTTGCAGGATCACATTGAAAACGTTGAAAAAACTCGACTGTCTTTGGAACAACAAACTGATGAAGTCCGTACTGCCATTGAAGAGAAACTGAAAACTGCCACCATTCAAAGGGATGAAAACCTGAAGAAAATGTTAGAACGTCTAAAGGAACATGTAAGTTTTTGACGTTTTTTAGACCCCCAATAAAACATGTAATATAATATTCATTCTAGATTTTGTATTATTAAAATTACACTCACCGGCAAAAAAAACGGCCACTAAAAACTAGTCCCAATTTCAAAGTAGCCTTTCTCGCGAACCACTCATTAGATTTTGATGATTTTTTTTTAAATTGTAAATTACTTCCTTCTTTAACGGATGCTACGTCAGAAATTTTTGTTCCGAATTTATTTTGAGCATATGCAGGGCACAGCAATAAGACGAAGTTTTTTGCCCTAACTTTGTAACACCCTGTAGGGTGCAACAGCTCTAGTAGCTATTGCTAAATCAAATCACATCCTCATGTTTTGTGGGCATTTTGTTTTCTGTGGCAGGCCTCCTTGCAGACAAGCTGTTTTTTTTAGTCTTCGTCGGATTGTTTTCTCACTGACTTGAGTTCTACGCACGGCTTGTAGCAGACGTTGATCCTGAAACGCTGTAATTCTACGATTTCATAAAGTATTCAGGACAATAAAGCGATCGTCATTTGTCTTCCGTTTTCTTCCGAAACCCACTCGCCTGGTGAAATTTCCCGTTTTCATATAATAATTCCAGGCATCCTTGACTGTTGTTTGAGGTATACCCAGGGTATCGGACACATAACGTTGACTTCGGCCATCCTCAATTAGAGGTGTAGTTCGTGAACGAACTAGTTCCAATGAACTATTCCGACCCCGGAATGAAAGGAACTAGTTCCTGGTTTCTCAAAGAACTAGTTCCTCAGGACCTATTCCGGGATTGAGACTGTGACCGATATAGAATGATATGCGACGGCGACGGATCGGCTAGCGCGCGTAGCTCGATTGTAGGTAGGAGTGGGGAATGCCAGCGGCACGTTATCGGATCCGGACCTAGAGGAACTAAACTAAATAAAAGACTAGTTTACGTACGTACGAATCGGGCCAGCGCGATCGATGCTAGGCAGGAGTGGGGAGTCCCAGTCATATGCCGTATGTTATCGGATGGTTATCGGATCCGGACCTAAAGGAACTAGAGGAACTAAATAAAAGACTAGTTTACGTATGGATCAGCCAGCGCGATTGATGCTAGGCAGGCGTGGGGAGTGCCAGCCGTATCGGATGCGGACATAGAGGAACTATTAAAAGACTAGTTCACGGGAATCTATTCAGTCGGCAGATCCGAGATATAATACAAGGCGACGACGATGGATTCAGCCTTGTCTATTGCCACAGCCGGCGCGGCGTAATTACTACAGAAAATTGTCGTGGATACTGTTTTTGATTTTTAGTTTGTTTTTTAAATATTTTATGCGAATGTTTCACTTTAGGTCCCTAAAATTAAGAAATATCTTATAAAACGAAGTAGATATCCTGAATTTTTAGTGAGGAAAAATGCAATTTTTCGTAAAATTTTTGTAATATTTGCTCTAATTGATTTGTGATATAGTTTTTCAAACTCTGATTTGAGTTTCTTTTTTATATTTTTTATCTGCAATAAAACTTACCTATAAGGGAAATTAAAATAACTTTCGTTGCACATCATAATACGACCACCAGCAAACTCCATAAGACGACGCATGGTGTCATTGATGACGTGCAACGAAAGTTGTTCCAATTTCCCTATATATATTTTTAACATACACAATTACACGTCTCGTTATATCTCCGTACATTATAAAAATTATACAGTTCATACTGTGAATAGTTCTGACTGACAACGAAACGCATTAGCAAGCAAGGGGGATGTCAATGTTAGTCGGGAACTATTGTGAACTAAAGACCTAGTTCAAGGAACTATTCCTCTGGAGGAACTAGAACTAAGGAACTAGAATTCCCACTTCTATCCTCAATTAAAGCAACAATACGAGCAACATCCGTCACAGATAATGGCATTTTTTAATTTGACAACCGTTGTTGTCATATTGCAAATACTCATAAATCCGTTTGCGCCTATGTCCTCTTGATTATTTACACATAAAACTTTCTGCCTGCGAAGCATTTTTCCGAGACGTTCGTTTTAAAGCAGCGTATCTCCAATACAGAGAGAGATAATGTCGTGATTAAAAAAAAACAAAATACTCACAAAAGATGAGGCTACAATGTGATTTGATTTAGCAATAGCTACTACAACTGCTGCACCCTACAGGGTGTTACAAAGTTCGGGCAAAAAACTTCGTCTTATTGTTGTGCCCTGTATTTCTGACGTAGGTAGCATCCGTTAAGAAGGAATTAATTTACAATTTAAAAAAAAAATCATCAAAATCTAATGAGTGGTTCGCGAGAAATCCAACTTTGAAATTAGGACTAGTTTTTAGTGGCCTGTTTTTTTTTGCCGGTGAGTTTATTTAAATTGATTATTTTTTGTTTCTATATTTGATGATGGCAGTTTTTTTGAAAAATGTTAGACTGTTTCTTATTATCAAATTCTGGAAATTTAATTTATATATATTTCCAAATTAAACTAAAATCAATTTATTTACTTAAATTCCATTATTATATTACATGTTTAACATATTCAAGTTATTAGTTACCTACTATTAGTGTTAGTTAAACAAACTCTAGTTGTACATCTTCATCATCCAGCTTATGTTTTATACGAAGGAAACCTATATTGTTTTCGCTCTGCCACTACATGTATTTTGTTTCGTTTTGCACTGTTTTTTTGTTGCTTACTTCAAGGAGGAGCAAGTTCGAAAGGTAAAGTCCTCGAATAACACTAAACTGCAAGACCTAGGGAACGCCATCCTAACGAAGCTGGTCCAGGCGAGGAACAGGCGGGAACAGATCGAACAGGAACAGCTGGAGAAACTCAAGAAAAACGTGAGTACATGCCAGTATGCTTTAGTCGGTCTTGTTCTCTCATTTTCAATTCCATTGTTTTTTTCGAATATTTATCTCATCTGCTATGGTCAGTCTTTTCCGTTTTAGCTAAACAGCCTGTTCAAATTATAAATGTTTGTTGTTAAATTTTTGGGTTGTATTAATATTAAAATGGGTGGCGTATTCTATTTGCGAGACTTACGAATATTTATTCCATTTTAAATTTATTGTTCAATTATTTCAGTTTTCTTTCAACTATAGTTCTTATGTAATTTAAATTGTGCAAAATTAAGGGGAATTTCATCTAAATAAATTAGATAACTGAAAATGGATGCACTTTCACTCAAAATGACTTATTTGGGTCATAAATGACCTAAATACAAAATATTTTCTCATGGTCTCTATCTGTCCGTCTGTCCGTCTGTAACACGATAACTCAAAAACCGCTAATCCGATTTTAACCAAATTTGGCACAAAAATACTGTGGCACCCGAGAATCTGGCCATTAGTTTTTGGTGGGGGTGGGGGTTGGTAAGGGGGTATGGGAGGGGGTTAAAAATTTTAAAAAATCGTAACTCCAAAATTACCGTAGCTAGCGAAACGCGGTTTTCAATTTAAGATTAGGATTAATATTTGCAACAAAATTTATAATAACATCAAAATCAGTCAAAGTCGCAGTTTTTGAGATAAAAAAATGAAAAAATTCCTTTACTGCGCACCAACTGTTTATTAACTTATTTTAGTATGGGCGGCTATATGTACGTGCCCCCGGCGCCAATTTTCTTTGTGTAATGTTCAATCCAATTCAAAGCAAGAACTAATTCCAAAGTCAAATTTGACTTAAAGCAATGAATAAAAACAATTTCATAAGTTGCAAACTTAATCAGTGACACTGTGAAGTCTATCCAAATAGAGAGAGCATGACAGTGACAGATGTCTGTGTGCCGTATTAAATTTACAAGTAAACTGTATTTTCTGTCAATTTTTGATTTTATCTGTCATAGTCTGTCGCTTTAGTCAGTTGGGAGAATATACGTAGAATATTAAATAACTAATTCTAACGTCAAAAATTGATATTTTGTGATCTTCAAAAATTAGCTAGAGTTTACTAAAGTCTGTGCAACGTTAAAAAAAACTACGTCAAAAAAATGACAGAAAACTGTCACTGTCAAGGATCTTGTCATTGGACAGACTATACTAGGAACTACCATTGAAAAGAACAGCGTCAGAGTTGGCTTTTAAATATATATATATCAATACATGTCATGTCATCCATTTTAATATGAATTTACAAACATCTAAATGTATTGTTTAAACATAATATGGATCTTACACACGAAAGGCTGACTATTGACATGCTTAATTTTTATTTTGTATCATGTAGAATTCCAGACCGTTCGAAAAGCAGAAATCTGTAGAATCCACTATTGAAAGTCGAAAGTCCGAGGTGATCAATCTGATCGAGAATAAACTCTGCATCGCCGAACAGATTCGAGAGAAGGTGATCCAGAAAAAGGTGGAACTAGCTAAGAAACATGTAATTATTTTGTTTTTTTTTATACGGTACAAGGGTGCTTTTCATAAAACGAAAATTATTACTGTGTTGTAAATACAGGGCATCTATATTGTTGTGGTTAATTGCTTTTTGTTTTAAACTAAATTTGTCAACTAAAAAAAATACCTTCAAAGTATTATCTGTCATAGGGATCATGAATGCGGATAAAAAAAATCGATGTTATCAAGTTTAACAATACAAAAGCGAAATTGCGATATATTATCTCTAAATTTAATATATTTTTAGTTCATTCCAGCTTAGTTCATTACATATACAGTATGTCCCCGGATTGTCTTAACAAGAGGAAAAACTTTTTTAATATTGACATTTTAAGAAAGGTGCATTCTTCATAAAAAATTTTGCTTGCTCTAAAATGGCTTATCCCGTTTATACTTCTCCAAATTTTAGTACCGTTTTAGAGAAAATAAAAAAAAACCATGAATACATAGTTGAATTTTTAGAAAAGTCTTAGAAATCAAGACGTGTTTCTATGGTAATATAATTTAGTTTTCATTAGTATATTTAGTATAATAACCATAGGTTTCAGTAAAAGGCAAAGTCCGCGGATATATTTTCGCTATGGTAATTTGAGTGAAACCCACGGCCTCAAGGCCAAGTCCGAAGGCCGGGCCTTTCCGTGTATAGTCAGCTATTAGATAGTTAAAACACGGCCAAAGACGTACATGTAAACGTATCGTTTGACATGTACGCTTGCGCAGTGAGAAATTCACTTGCGTTTACCGATACGTGATACGTATCTTTACGTGCCTTTACGTACGTACAAAACGCAAACGTATCGAGCCGAAGGAGTTTCGATTTTCACCCGAATGATGCCGAACGTTCAAATTCACAAACAACTTGCAACTAATAAATAGTCATAAAACTGTGTTTGTTTTTCAATATTTTTTATTACTAAGAGCATTTTAAGTTGTAAGGACTACTTTCTGTAATAAATAATTTCCATTTATAATCCATCCATTTGTAATCTTTCTTTTCAATTTTTCGATATTACTTTTATCAATTTAATGTGGAATCGATGAAATAATAGATATCCATTTTCAGTTTTAAAATTAATTGGCGTTACGTACGTCACAATACTTGCTTTAACTCTTGTTTACACGACAACGCAACGGCAGACGTAACCTAGGTTTCTGCGTTATGTGTCGAGAGATACGTATAGGTATTGTGCCTTGCTTTAACTGTTTATTAATTTTTTAAACTCAGTGCCTTTCAGTGGAGTTAAGGTTTTAACAATTACAGCAGCATCCTTACTCCCACTAGCCCTAAAGCTCATAGTACTTGCAAAACCCAATTCTTCTTTTGAATGCTCTTCAATTTCTATTAGTCTAGTTGTACATCTTCATCATCCAGCTTATGTTTTATGCGAAAGAAACTATATTGTTTTCGCTGCGCCACTACATGTATTTTTTTTCGTTTTGCACTGTTTTTTTGTTGCTTACTTCAAGGAGGAGCAAGTTCAAAAGGTAAAGTCCTCGAATAACACTAAACTGCAAGACCTAGGGAAAACCATCCTAGAGAAGCTGGTCCAGGCTACGAACAGACGGGAACAGATCGAACAGGAACAGCTGGAGAAACTCAAGAAAAACGTGAGTACATGCCAGTATGCTTTAGTCGGTCTTGTTCTCTCATTTTCGATTCCATTTTTTTTTTCGTATATTTATCTCATCTGCTGTGGTCAGTCTTTGCTGTTTTAGTTAATTGATCAGAATCTCATTTCAATTTGCGGCAAATATTATTTATATGGAAAACTTTTGGATTGTATAAATATTAAAATAAATGAAATATCTTCTTTTTGAGAGATTTTTATCGGTTTATTTGGCTCTTTACAACTGGCTACGTTACCTTTGGCAATCTTCAACATAATTTGGCTTCGGAATAAAATGTATAAGCACTTGTAAATATTTTGTTTTCGTATGATCTCTGCCTTGCTGAAAAGAAAACGACCAAATTTGGTTGATAAAAATGTATCGAAATACAAAGAATATTCATGCATTGTAACGTTTTTAGTTCGTTACATGTCTTTGTATATTATATGTATATGATTCCCCATCGTTCAGGCCGGATAATTTACTTGACGCGCCTGGCGTAATTTTTACGTTCTCTAGTCAGCAACCCTGTTATCGTTTCACTGCTCTGTGGAGGCGCTGTCAACATCACTTCAAGGCGCCTCTCCGCGCTTAACGTCACTTTGAGTTTGGCCGTCGGCCATCTCAATAGTCCTGACTTAGAGAAATTGCAATTATTTAAATCTTGCTGTATAATTTGAATTGAAAAAAAAATTTGGTTGATAAAAATGTATCGAAATACAAGGAATATTCATGCATTTTTAAATCAATTGGAATGTCTACTATTTATTCTTATCAGTACACATTTTTTGACTTATTTCTAACCAAACGGTTTTGTCCCGTTAAATTTATCTTCCACCGCACTGTGCGCTCGTCCGTCAAACGCAAAAATAACTGTCACTGTCTAAAATCTTCGCAACTAAAAAAGCGCCAACTTCAACTCGGTCCCTAGATGACGTAAAAAACTGACAGTGCTCTATAGTATCCTTGAAACGAGATTAACTATTTTAGAACAAGCAAAAATTTTTATGAAGAATGTATCTTTCTCAAAATGTCAATAATAAAAAAGTTTTTTCTCTTGTAAAGACAATCCGGGGACATACTGTATACTCAGTATTTTAAATTAATACTTGTTGTTAGATCTATATTTATTTAATTACTGATTTTCTTAATTTTGCCTATTATAAAGGTAAATATATTCTAAAGATGCCATCTGCTTCAGGCAAGCTGACAACGCCGTAAAAATTCATTGTATCATCATGGATTCAATCAGCCTAATTGGTGGAAATTCTTATACGTTTCGTTGCCAGGCTGTAGCCATGCTCATAAGTCTTTCTATTGGTCAGTGCTACACCCAATTGTATGCCCTTCCCTGAAAATAGTGGCAATATTGACTGGTATTGAAATATCCAGTGGCGGTGTTATTGTCTTGTATTTTATACCTTTAACTTTATTTGTGTATATTATAATTATTAGTATGTAATTTCTATTTCACAGAAATACAAAACTAATATGGCGTCTAAGTCGCATTTTATCCTAAATTGGGATAATTATAGTAAAAATATTATTTTTATGATTTAGTTAGATGGCAGTGAAGGAAAACAAAACAAAAGTATTTAAGTGTGGAGGATGTTTGAAGATCATAATTATTTAAACACTTTAACCGACTCTGTAACTCGTTACCCGAGGCAAAAAAGTTAAACGCAAACAACTTTATTGATAAATGTATTGTTTCTACTTTGAAAAATACGAATGGGCCTGAAAATTAAAGAAGTTTTAAAAATTTTCTTGAATTTTTTTTTAATAAAATGAGAATAATTTATTCGCAGTCGAAAAAATTGTTTCCGCGTGTTTTTTAGGGTCAAATATTTCAAGTTAATGTGTTCAAAAAGCAGGAATTGCTATTTTAGGAACGAAACATTTTCTTATTTAACAACATGGCGGCTTTCACTTTGTTGTTTTGGAGATTAAGACGGAGTAGTTCGAGTAGTCGCATACTGGACTAATAAAGTCGCAAGATTGCCTAATTTAGTCATCCTAGAGTCTAGCTTGTGCCGCCCTCTATAATCTTAATAAACGAGGGAGTAGATAAACTATCGGTAATATATGTCGATGTATATTTAAATTTAGTTTTATATGTACCTTTCTTATGTCCCATTTTAATTAAGTTTTTTTTTATAAAAACAAAAACAGCACTGAACTGTCTGACTGAACAGAACAATGAAGTGAAAATTTAAGATTTAAGGTTATGGTTCAATACAGTTGCAAAAAGGTAGTGACTCGACGTCCTACCAACGTAAGAATAAGGAAATCTAAACAACGTTGGAATTAGTAAAACAGACGACGTTTGCATAACGTTGGAATAGGTCCTGAAACTGACGTCGGAAAACTCTATATTGTCCAACGCTGTAACTACGTTGTCTGAATCACCTAAAGATCACTTAAGCAAAAAAGGTTACAAGACAACGTTTATTCGACGTCGCAGAAGCTTCTGCTTTGCTGTAGTACTAATCCAACGTCGGCACAACGTTATAAAAACGTTTAAATTTATTTTAATACCCAAGGTAGGGAGCTAACTATTTTTGTAATTAATCCAACGTTGTGTTTAGTAAACATGTGGTCGCAAGTTGTGAAAATGCTACTTGGGCTGAATAATATGTTTTTAATAGTATGAATAATATTTTTATAATGATATGTTAAATAAAACTATATATACTATTAATAAAATTAAAAATAAAAGAAAACAAATCAAACAAAGAAAATATGTGTATAATATGAAGTATAAAGTATGTTTTTTATTTTCTCTCTCTCTCTCTCTCTTTGTATTTTACATTAATAAATATGCAAACATTACAGAGTAAAAATTAAAAAAAATGTATATATTTTTGTTAAAATGTAAAAATATTAAAAAAATGTATACTCCTCTGTGGCGGATTCATTTCTTCAAAAAAGTTCTTTGGATTAATGCAGCAGTGTTTACTAAAAATTACTATTTTTATTTTGTAGATTTTCTTACAGTGTAAGTATCGAAATATCTATTCTTTTTTAAAAAGGAAAAATATTTGCTCTGCTTTTTCAGATGTTAATATTTTTTGTGACTAACGTGAATCCATTTTTAATTAATATCTAAGACATGTTAATCTAAATAAACAATTCTATTCTTCGCCCACCGAGCAACTATAAATCAAAAAATAAAACACACTCTACTCCTAAATAATATCTTATATTATTTATTTCAACTAAAATTGAAAAAACGTGCGGAATTACATAAATAAAAAGCGGACAAACGGCAAAGGGATAGACCGCCGCCGGCGCCGGGTCGGCATGAGCCAATCATAATAATTTTAATGAAAATATCACACATTTGCATCCAAACCACCGGCCGGCGTCAAGTCAACACTTTAAACATAAGCATATTGATAAGAACTAGACCTACGTCGAAGTAAGGAATATTTCAGTATCGAGTTCGAGTCCTCGGTTCGTGCATTTCCAGGAATTACGATTACTGTCGGCGCAAAAGTAACGAATTAGCTTAGTAACGAGTAACGAGTCCTAAATTCAAATGGTAAGCGTTACTTCGAGTCCTCGTAAAGTAACTGTTACTTTGTAACGATTACTTAGAATTAGTGATGTAAAAATTCTAAGTAATCGTTACAAAGTAACAGTTACTTTACGCACAATAAGTAACGAAGTGAAAAGTCTTCCTACTTGTACACAAAACAACGATTATAAAGTAACGATACTAAGTACCAAAGTAACGAGTAACTAAAGTAACGAGTCCAAAGTAACGAGTCCTATTACGAAAAGTAACTAGTAGTTCCGAGTCTATAAAACTAACTAATGTTTACATCACTACTTAGAATTTTTACATCACTACTAAGCATCGAAAATGATTATAACTCACCACCGTGTTACAGGCAGATTTTTCTAGTTAGATGCTGTAAATAAAAAATATACAGTAGTTTTTTCCTTTTCGAAAAGCACCCTATTTCGCCTTTTGTTTCGTAGCTTCACATTTGATGTACGTTTCACTCTTTCATTTCATCTAGAATGAGCACTTAAACGAGGTTAAGCAAACGCTAGGGAATCGTAAAAGCGAGCAAGTAAACAAAATCGAAAACAAGCTCACCGCCGCCGAACAGAAGAGGGAACAGGAAATGCAGAAGAAACTCGAGCATATTAAAAAACATGTAGGTATTCGTTTTGGAGCAGAAGATTTCATGCATTGCTACACAAGAATCGAAACTATTTTTATATTCGTTTGAAAATACAGCGGTTCTTTCTTATCTGTGTAATTTTTTATTTTTAAAAAATACTATTTTAATTTCATTGATCGTCTTGTTGGAAGGGTTAAAGCAAAGTGTACCGGGTGTCCCACTAAGAATAGCTCTCGGCTGTATCTCGGAAAGCATTAGCCGTAGGGCTTACGCAAAAAAATATTTATAACTAAAGAGGCTATGAGAAATTGCTGGAAATTATTTTCAAGTTTGTGAAACGGCCGCTAGGGGGCGAAAACTGCTATAGAAAATATGAAAATAGAATTTTTACAGAATTTTGCCTAGATAATGCGTACTATAAATAATAGCTTCATAATTTTCAGTAAATTTTGGATTTTCTTCGTTAAAACCATTTTCCCATATCTGCTAAAATAAAGTGGTGGGGGAAGGTTAGATCTATCTTTATATAAATATTAATAACTCCGGACTGGATGATCAGAATCCAACAAACGAGTGCTCTTTTAAAAGAGCGTTTCTTACCCTATATTATGCCATAAAAATAATAATAATAAGGTTTTGAACGTAGACGCTAGGGGACGCTTTCTTACAATTTAACAAATATAGCGCGTTTTTTCAAAAAAATTAAATACGAGAGTATATGTAATTTTAGCTGATAGTAAAGAGTAGTAAAAGCTTAAAAAGTCAGCGAAAACCGCATCTTGATATCTTCTTTCAAACCGAAGATATTAGCAAAATTATAATAAATACCAAAAAATAGGCCCATAATTATCTTATTTTTACAATACGGTATCAGTGCCCTCTTGATTATGCCCATTCTAACAAAAAATAAGATAGAAACAGTTAAATTAAAATCGACGAAATACCAGAATACCATAATACCAGATGTATTAATATGTAATAACTAAGATATTAATAACAGTGAACAAGAAACGATGATTCGGTGAAGTCATATGGTAGGCTTTGGAAATAAGTTGCTTTTCACGTAATAGTATAAACGTCAAACTGTTATTAAATCAACATTTTGATAGTCTTAGTCGCGTTTTTTATCTTTTAATTTTTTTTTCAAAATAACTTCATTGTTTGAAGTAGTTGAAGTTGTTGGCATTTTGAAAAAGCAATCAAAAGATAAAAAACGCTGGTAAGACTATCAAAATGTTGATCTAATAACAATTTGACGTTTATACTATTACGTGAAAAGCAACTTTTTTCCAAAGCCTACCATGACTTCACTGAATCATCGTTTCTTGTTCACTGTTATTAATGTCTTAATTATTAGATATTAATACCTCTGGTATTATGCTATTCTGGTATTTCGTCGATTTTAAAATAAACTAACTGTTTCTATCTTATTTTTTTGTTGGAATGGGCATAATCAAGAGGGCTACTGATACCATGTTGTAAAAATAAGGTAACTAAGGGCTTATTTTTTGGTATTTATTATAATTTTACTTCGGTTTTATCTTCGGTTTGAAAGAAGATATCAAGATGCGGTTTTCGCTGACTATTTAAGCTTTTACTACTCTTTACTATCAGCTAAACTATTGCATTTATTTTTTTTTTTTTGAAAAAACGCGCAATGTTTGTTAAATTGTAAGACAACGCCCCCTAGCGTCTACGTTCAAAAGCTTATTATTCTTGTTTATATGGTACAATCAAATACGTTTAAATTACCTATACGGAGGGTACCGCTTAAATTCCTGTCCCGATGTTAAAGGATGGCTATAGAATTTCAATGCATTTCCTACATAAGTCTATCCTTGTGTGGTAGGAGGTTTGACTAAACAAGGATGAACCTATGTCTTGAAACCATTCGACTCGATTTTCTGTCCTCCTTCAATACTGGGACATAAATTCTCTCATTGCCCTTATGGGGAGGCCGCGGTATAGAAAATTTAAACGTATTTGGGTACAATATAGAGTAAGAAACGCTCTTTTAAACGAGCCCTTGCTTGTTGGATTCCGATCATCCAGTCCAGAGTTATTAATATTTAAATAAAAACAGATCTAACCTTCCCCCACCACTTTTGGTAGATAGGGGAAAATGGCTCTAATAAAAAATATTCAAAATTTACTGAAGATTATGAAGCTATTATTTATAGTACACCTTATCTAGGCAAAATGGTGTAAAAACTCCATTTTCTTATTTTTTGTTGCAGTTGCGCCCCCTAGCGGTCGTTCTACAAACTTGAAAATAATTTCCAGCAATTTCTCATAGCCTCTTTAGTTATAAATATTTTTATCCGCAGCCCCTACGGCTAATACTTTCCGAGATACAGCCGAGAGCTATTCTTAGTGGGATACCCTGTACAGGGTGGCTCGAATTCGACCCTCATCATTGGGATTTCGGAAACCGTAAAAGATACAGGATCGGTAAAATGGAGGCAAAGTTGCGCAATTTGATGCTCAATAAAATGCTGTATTGCATTTTTATTTTTTATTTTTTTTGCATAAAATATTCTGGTGATGGAATTTTCTGTACGAAACGTCGGCAAATATCAAAGTGACTATATATATATAGTGTTTTAAGAGTGATGAAAGGATTTAATTAAATTGAAAAAAAAATCAGGTCCGTATTTAAAAAAATTAAATTGATGATGGTCGCCAGAAGCCGAAACGTCAGAGTCAATATTTAATCACTCAGAGTTATAGAGCAGAAAAAATGGCCATAAACATGTGTTTTTCATTTTAAGTTATCTTAACAAATAAAGCCGGGAAACAATAGAAAACAAAATTGAAAATTCTGTTTTTTTTCGAATATACATATTCGGAATTTTTCAAAATGCAACACGGCATTTTATTGGGCATCAAATTGCGCAACTTTGCCTCCATTTAACCGATCCTGTATATATTACGGTTTCCGAAATCCCAATGATGAACGTCGAATTCGAGCCAGCCTGTACAGTATATTTTCAAAAAAGTCAAAGTATAAATTGGACTAAATTAATTTAACATATTAAAATAATTGCGATTTTGTGTGCATACTTTTTTTAATTAATTTAGAGAACGTAAAGGCTACTAATTATTGTTAGTTGAATTCTACAGTTTAAGGCTGTGTCTTTGCTTCTATTCCTTTTAATTTTTATTAAATACCATTAAATATTTCTGATCCGGCAATGTATTTTAATAATTCTTTTCTTTCAAGGAGAAACATGCTGAACTGGTCCGTCAAAACAAGGCAGTACTGGCAGCTAAAGCTCCATCTTCTGGTTAACGTCCAGGCAGCAGCGAGTAGTTATCCCCTTCTCAAACTTTATACTCAACTGCTTTAAACCTCGGTTAACTTAACCCGAGGTTAAAACTTATATCATTAGGGAAGAGCACTCTCGAGTCCTTTCCTCGAAGTATTGCTTTTAGACTGAAGTTTTTTTTTGTGATCATTTTATTATTCTTCATTTACGATTTATTCTAAGTTTGTTTTATTTGTATTTTCTATTTAATTTTTAGTTATTCTACATTATTTACCATTTGACCATACTAAAATACTAATATTATATATTTCTAGTTCGTTTTTATTTGTTTGTGCAAAGTTTTGCGAGTTGAAAGTTTTTTTCACAGCTCGCAAACCGTGCTTTGTATTTTGAAGGCTAGACCTACTTAAGAGATTCTAAAAAAAAACAAAAAAAAATATATAAGAAATGTTAAATGACCAGCTAGCTTAGCGTTGTGAGTAAGAACCATGTAGCTTCGTAGTTTTGTTGCAATTTCGGGTAGCTAGGAATTTCAAATTATATGAATAATTATTTTGTAAAACTGTACAACAAAAAGGTAAGTATTCTAATAAGAATAGAGGATTAGATTAGTAAGAAATAAAAGTATTAAATAATTTTAAGGTTCGGAATAAAAGAATATTTTATTAGAGGAAAAAACACAATATTTGTCTGAAGTTGTAGATTTCAACGAGTGTTTGCAGTTAAAATACAAGTGATAACAATTGGATAGAATTTTTCAAGAAAAAGTTAAATTTCGTACAGTTGCAAATATTAGAGATAAAAACTTAGGAGATGTATATTTTAGTTAATGTTTTTTTTTACTAACCAGAGGCGGGCTCTTAGGGAATTATAAAGGGGAGAACAAGAGTATTGCCTGCCATTGGTTGTTGAATAACGTTAACCGAAATACATATTGTATTTTTGAAGAAAAGTGAGTAACAATAAACTTAGTAACTTAAGACCACTCTAGGAAGTTAATGTTACCTTTAAAAATTATTTCTAAAGTATTTATGTATTATGCAAGATCTTTAGGTGTAAGTTACACTTGTATGAAGATTTGTTGGCAGAAGCAGGGTGTTCCATTGAAGTAGAAACCGCCATATGACTCTAAATAATAATAATTGTAGAATGGACGTATAGGATGGAAATGAATTTGAAATTATTTTTTGTTACTCGGTAAAAAAAAATAATATACAAGTACAGAAAATATTTTCAATTTCTTTTATTTTTTACTATGTATAATTAAACATCTGGATATATACATTTCGTAATATCTTTTGAAATATACAGGGTGCGCCATAAATTTCGTAGCATAGGGGATTTTTTTATTGAGTTATTGAAAAATGTGGAATTACTTCAGTACTTATGCCCAGTAACAAAGAAAATGCAAATGTCATACGACATAATCACTGATCAACATCATTTTAATCAATATACAGTCCCTGTATATGTTTATGAATCTTGGTACATAAACTTAAAATTGAATTATAAACAACCATTCTCTTGGTCCGTTTTCGAAATTTTGTAACTTATAACCCCACTTTTTCCACTTTTATTTTTGGCGCACCCTGTATAGATTAAGAAAAGATATATACGTTTAGATTATGTGTTAAAACGATTATGTTTTTATGATAATTTACAAGAATTTCAAACTGCGATTTTCATCTACTGTTTAATTGTAACTACTTTTATAATTATAATATTTATTACCACTTGGTGTGTGTATAGTGAACTTCTTTTATCTTAAACGTGGATTTATATAAATGTGTTGTTTTTTTACTTAAATGTAATTAACTAAAAATTTTACACCCGTTGGTATTTTATCCAATGATGAGATTTTAATAAAAACGCTATTGCTGCCTTTTATATAAAAATATCTCGATATAAATACGTATAAATAATGTTATTCTAAAAAATGCTTATGCAATGGAAAGCTTAGAAATGTTTTCTTAGGGAAAATTTGGCTCAAAAGTTTAGAAAATTTAAGGATTAGAAGAAATATCAAGCGAGGACATGAAAAAAAAACAGACATAAGTTTTACCTGCTAGCTTCTGTGATGGATTGTTTAATTTAATTATTACCTATATAAAAAAAGATCATATATAAACATATTAAAATTTCATTTTTATTCCTATTGTTCAGTTAACGTTGGTCATTTAATAAAGTTTGGTTTAAAGATAAATGTTTGGAATATATTTAGTCTAAAGTTTTTGATAAATGTAATGTGCATTGTGACGTAAAATCGTATGAATGCTAGGAGAATCTTGCCATTATTGAAAGTTAAGTGCCATCTGTTCTAATTTGCTTGGTGATGCACGATGTATTTATCAATAGTTTTATTACTTTGCATTTATTTAGTTGTAAGGGAATAAATTTATATTCTGCAGTATGACAGCCGTATAATATAAAGTTTTCTTAAAATAGTTTAGTTTAATAAAGATCATATATTAACATGTTTTAGTTTAAGAAGTGTAATAGTTTTTTTTATTTGTTCCTAATATGGCTTATTAATAAACATATTAAAAATACTAATTCGTTTTATTGTGTTATTAATTTCAAATAGGGCGAATATGCCAGTGGTCGGCCAGTTTAGAAAAAGCTGAGATTAAATTGTTGATTAAATTTTCTTTATTATTACACCTATTTATCCAGGATTTTTAGTTATTTAACAAGAAATAATTGAAGAATGGAGTTATGGGCTTTTACCGGTACACACAGCCGGTACATATTTTTTATATGTTATACGCTGTCCAGGATAAAATTTATGACAATGGCTAAAGCAAACTAAAGAGTAGATGCCAGCAATTTTTTTATAATTTTGGATGTCTGTCAAAATTGTCTCTTCTCTTGTTGAACAGACTTTAGTTTTGGAAGAAATCGTTACTTATGCAACTAGTAATGTTATTTCAACTTTTATAGTTTTGTGTTTTTATACCTGCAATATTTTTGAAAATATTATACAAGAGTATTCTCTGTCTTAATACTATACCGTATTATACCTGATTATACTTAGTAAGTATCAATATTGTATGTTTAATACAATAAGTTATTTATCATGGATAGTGTGCAAAATTTGCAGGTGTATTTGAGGTTGCATACTAATCTTACTGTTTGGTTATCTTTGACGCTACCTGTTCACGTGATAAATTGACGTCAATTGCAAGCAAATATGGCTGACATGTAAGCGCTTTCTTTGAGTGCGTTGCAGAAAGTAACTTTATTTCGTAAATGTGTTGTTACAATTTTTACTAAATGTTAAAAAAAGAAGTCTGTTGTTCGAGTAGTGCAAATTAGAGTTTATACATCAGGTTAGTGTATTTTTATATATAAATAAACGGTAGTAAGTCTGCATTAAACAAATAAATAGCGGCTCTATGTTATATGACCTTGGCTTCCGAGTTATATGTTGATTTTTTGCATTTGCTAAATTAACTTATCTAATTACCTTCCTTTTTAATGAAATCATACAAATCATATCAACTTTGAATGTAAACATAATTATGATAATTGTGTATACATACATTTCTTTTCTTTGCCGGTTTTTAGATGAACGTTTATGTGGATAAGTATTGTTATAGAATATAAGTACCTATTTATTTATAGGCAGTGAAAAATATACAACATGGCATTGTGGGCTAAGGCACAGCAACTCCCTGCCGATAGTATTCATTTGCAACAAATAAGAGGCATATATGGGGAACACTTTCCCATAGAGGTTAGGCATTACCTAGCCCAATTTATCGAAGAAAAATTCTGGTAAGCACATTATTCATTTTACATACTATATATAGACTTATATTGACAAAAAATATTTAAATAAAGCGTTTTGTAGATTAGTTTAAAATTAATAATCGGGTCCCTTTATTGTTGGAAAAAAAACATTAGAAAAATACCATTTTATGAAATTTATAAATCTTTTTCATTTTTATCTATACCTTATCTTATCAGTCGATATTACTGTGCCATTGAAGTACAAGAGTTACTTATATTACTGAATTTTGACAATGACAGTGAATTCTGAATCTGAGACATTGATCTGAAGTAAAACTTCTTATTTCCGTCTATCTGTCTGAGGACTCCATTTACTTTTCGTGACGCTAGCATAAAGAAGTAATATATACATATGTAGGTGCTAATCTTAATTATTTTGTGTTTATTCTATGTGAATCATTATACACTATCCTCAGGTACCCACCGTTATAAAATGTCTGAAAGGTTGGTACCTGGGCCTATCATACCATGGTACCTGGGCGATGTACAGCAACAAGCAATATTCCTTTCGTCCAAATTTAATTAGACTTGTTCTAAAACTTATAAATAAATGTTTTTTTTTGAAACGTCACAAAAGTATTAATTTTTGCGACGTGATTGCAAGATAAAAAAGTCATTTGAACGCCTAGGCATAAAAGTAAAGCACTTTTACGCCTAAGTAAAAGTACGAAAATCTATTATTAAACTGACATTAAGTGTCAAATTTAACGAGTGTAACCATAATTTCTCGATATACAGGGTGTCCGGAAATTAATGCAAAAAAATTTGGTCATAGATTCTTGAGAAAAAAATATTTGACCCGTATTTTTTATTTTTGCCAAGTGGCCCCCCTTTTCGGATTTACAGCCCTCTGAATTTCGCCCCTAAAAGAGTTTTTTTTTAATATCTCAGGGCCCTGTTAGACGAAAATCACGAAATTTAGTAGATGCTGTTTTACCATAAAATGACATTTTTTGATCCTATTAACTTTTTTTTATTTTCATCAGTGGCGTCCCTACGGTATTTAAACTAAATATTATTGAAGAAAAAAATGGTACGCCACTGTTTTTTTTAAATAAAAATTATTTTTAAAATCTACATTAAATTTGGAACAAATTGGATCTCTTGATAATATTTAGTTTAAATACCGTAGGGACGCCACTGATGAAAATAAGAAAAGTTTATAGCTATACAAAAATGTAATTTTATGGTGAAACAACGTGTATCAAATTTAGTGATTTTCGTCCAACAGGGCCCTGAGATATTAAAAAAAATCGTTTTAGGGGCGAAATTCAGGGGGCTGTAAATCTGAAAGGGGGGGGGGGGCCACTCGCCAAAAATTAAAAATACGGGTCATCTATTTTTTCCCCAAGAATCTATGACCAAATTTTGTTGCATTAATTTCCAGACACCCTGTATAATACTTACGGGGTATTACTTTTAATTTTTTTCATATTGGTTTAAAAATTTATTTGTGAACGTTTGAAAAAATAGCATGTTCTATTCAGAGTAAAAATTAATTTTTGTGCCTTGCTTGTAATGTCGTCAAACGTATAGTCTCGCCACGAAAAGTATCATTTTTTACTATTGTTTAGAATCGGCAACATTATTTAGAACCTCCCGTTTAATCTCAAATGGTAGTTTAGGCTTTATTTTTAACCATTTTGATCTTAAAAAGAGCTTTTCAAAATTTTAAAGTAGCGATTTACAATCGGCGGTTTACAATTAGCGACTTAGTTTTGTTTCCCAAAAACTTTTGTTTTCTAAAATATTTAAATTAAAAGAAAATGTGTAAAATTGGGCAACACTGTGGCGGCCAAGCTTAATCGTAAAGTTAATAATTGATATGATATTAATCTGTAAGGTATTTGCGTTTTTATATTGAATACAAGTCGACTTGACTTGAATTAAAAGGTTGTTACTACGCCTACTGTAATGTAGTTTTCATTCCATAAACAGGGTATTTTATAGATCTAATCTTAATCTAAGCTAATCTTTTGTATAAATACTTTATCCGTTTTAGTCTTTGATAAATTAATATAGCAAATAAACAGAAATTTAAGGAATTATTCAGTATAACTGATATGTTTTTAAATCTCTCAAATTTGTTTATATATAATATTAGTAATTGCCATTGAGTTAAAATTGCTATTCATTATTAAAATATTGGTTGTAAAATATGAATTACTCATACTTTTTAAACATCATTCAGAACTAAAATATAATAGCTGAGTACATAAACTATGTTCTAATTTGGATGCAAGCATTCAGAATGTAAAAATTATAACCTAGTAGTACTTTTCAATTAGCAGAAGAAGCTTTAAACAAACTTTTAACTTTTTCCACTAATTATAATTGAAACTGCTATTGCGCATGTGCCAGTAATGTAATTTTGTTCCTCATCATCTGTCAAAAGCAATATTGTCGTTAGAAATAAAAAATCTATTGTTTTATAAGATAACTAGTTTTTTCCCGCGACTTTTTCCGCATAAAATTCGAATTTTATTAATATAAATTGTAATATTTATTTATTATAGCACCTAGTGGCAATATTTGAAAGTACTTATTACATGTGTCTATAATTCATATCAAATAAACTGTTAGTCACGTGATTAAGCTTAACCGGCACAGCGTTGCCCACTTTTACATATTTTCTTTTAATCAAAATGGATTAATTATAGATATATAAGCAGTTATTATTTACATGAACAAAACTCACCTTCTTAACAGCACATAAGGGATATCAAGGGTTATTACTACCGCTTTCCCGTTCAAAATATTCTAATAAAGCTGCGTTGAGTTTTTTACGGCTATTAAGCTATCTTGTACACTTCTAAGAGGTTCTAAAAAGAACAATGTTCGACTGCAAGGTCTGCTAGTAAACATTTTTAAGCTTAAAGTGTCAAAACGAATGATAATGTCAGGAAATAAATAAATAAATGTGGGAACTTGAAATTTTTTACAGCAGAGCTACCCCCAGAATCTCTAGCGGGAAATTTAAATTCCAGTTAGTCAACCCGGCGCCGAATATGTCCATGGTTGGCAACAATGAATTTAAAAATCGTGCCTTCGATTACGTAACTAAAAGTTTAATTGGTATTAAATATAATGGCCTAGAATAGGACTTTATCTGTGGATACATCTGATACAAGCTCTTATTAGTATAAAGTATACGTAAATTCACTAATTTCGAGCTACCGAATGAAGCTTTAATCTATTCTACTCGAAAATCATATTTGAATTTGTCCTTTCAGGTCCAATATAGACCCTGTCTCCGATAATCCCAGCTACGAACAATATGTGGCAACACTGGTAAATCAGCTAATACAGGAGATAGAAAATAAAGCTGAAGGATCCACGGATTCTTCAGAGTATTTCCTAACCAAACTGAAATTAGCCGAGGCTGCCAAATTATTTAGAGAACGTTACAGGTAAGATGCTTTTTATTATTTTTAGGACAATGCACACTATCCGTTCCGTTTCCCTTCCGTTCCATTTACTTTCCTCCCAACATTTTTTTGGCGAACGAACTGAACCAATAACTAAAGAATACAAGGACATATAACACCCGAGACCAAATTGTTACCATGGCTCCAAACAGTGCCGTGGCCATATATTTTTCTTAACTTTCTTAACGCCTATGGCATAGGCGGTGGTATCAACTAATTAATTAGAAAAAAACGTATTAAAATGTTAACAAAAGGTACAAAACTAGTATTAAAGTATAGCACATAATATTAAGAACATATAGTATGAGAAAAATAATTACCAAATTCAATAAGAAAACGCTAAAGAGGTGGAGTGGACTGTTTATTTACTTATGAAACGTAACTCCTGGCTGTTTCTTATCGTTGCGGCTTTTACATTTGAAAGCTGAACAAGTTACCATTGTAATAAAGTTTATACAAATTCACTGTACACAACAACTTATTAAAAATCACTAAAATTATCGCTGTTGACGAGGTGGTGACTCATCCGTAGGCTCCAAAATGATGGCGTCTAACGTAACAAATTCTGCTGCAGCCCGTATATGGGCGTTACATGTCCTTGTATTCTTTAGTCATTGGACTGAAGCTAATCGGAAACAGCGTTGTTAAGTTCTTACATTTGTACCAGCTCTGTTAAAATTTTGCTGATATTTATTTATCCTTTCACCTCTTAATTAAATCTATTACCTTTTTTAAAAGATACACATTTTTAAAATTAAACTTTCGTAATGATTAGTTATAAATTGTACAATAAAAGATATGGAACTGATAGGGAACGGAAGCTTACGTATAACGCCAATACAATAAAAAATACGGAACGGATATGGAATGGAAACGGAAAGTATAATAATCAACCTTAAAACGTCCGTTTTTCGTCTACAGGTTCTTACCTATGTTAAATGTGTAGAGGACGCTTAAGAGGTCAAGATTTTCGAATTTTAATAAAAAAAAATATTATCAACACTTAGAGGAAAACGATAAATCAGTAATTTTGGGAAGTCCTAGTTTGATATTATTTTCTTAAATGCATATATTCTTATCAGTAGGTTACGGAAACCGCAATATTTTATTTTGATCATTTTAAATTACGATAAATTTTAGTCGTGCTATTACATTCATTAGTAAAATACATGGTTTTAAATCAGTTATAAAGTGTTGTTAATTTAGTGTGCGTTAATTATTTATGCAGAGATAATTAAGTAAGTAAATATTAAGATTGACTTAATACCTTCTTTTATAACGTTTTTTGTTGGTCATTGATTTTTTTAAGCAGGAATGATTTATGCTGTATAGCTTTGTTCTTTGGAAGATACACCGTTTTTTTAACTTCCATTGTCTTTTTTTTCGATTTAAACAATTATTATGTTTTGTTTAGCTATATTATTATTATTATTATTATTAAAATTTATGTAGGGGTGGGGGTAGTTTTCACCCTTACCGTACTTCTTCTTGGTTTTTGTTTTTGTAAAAGTCAAATGTATTACTAAAGCACTTAGCAAAACATAGACACCCAAAATCTCATTTAAATTGGAATAACAGTTCTTAAAGTAGATATCTGAAAAAAGCGTGTTTATTTTTTTAAGTTTCATGCCCTCTAAAGGACAAACGAAGCATTTTTGTATAGAGGTAAATCGTAACATAATGAAGTATCTTTAATTTCCTTCTTCATTTGTGTAAAAATACTTATTTGCTATTTTTTCTAGTAGACTAGTGAAATGGACTCTGAAAACGTTTAATTTTCCTTATATCTTTGCCTTGGACTCATGTTATCGTTGCACCCGGATTTGCGGTTAAAAATCTTGTCGATTCGTTAAAAAAGTATATTTTTAGAAACTAGTCTAAAACAAAAGCGCAAAATGGTAGCGAAATAATGCCGTATACAATAATTAATATGTAATTGCAAAAGTGTTTTAATAAATTCAAATAACACTTTACTGGACATTTTCAACTATTTGCACATAATAAAATATTAAGTAAACCTGTACACGTAAGATGTGTCGGTTGATTCCCGAGAAATATGTAAATTATGATGATGGTTTGCATTTGCTAAACGCTTAGTTTGCGAATCGAAGATCTTACACAAGTTTATAATCAATTTTTAAAGTCGCTGATATTATTTTTTAATATTTAAAAAAAAAATAGATTGTGGAGTTATTGAACTTATGTAAGTATGTCATTACTTTCTAAATTTGAATTTAGCTTTTTCTATATAATTTTATTTTCAACATAATGAATTTTCGATGTTTTTAATAGTATTTTTTTTTAAACTATATTTTATAAATCTTATGAAATATATGGATATGACGTATTACAAATTTCTGTCTTGTTTATTTTTTGATAAGATTTATATTTATTTTCTAAGTAACCTATAAGTTAAGTGATGTTAATTATTAATTTTTATGTATATAATTTTATTTACAAATCTATAATAAATTATTATTGATGATCTTGTTATGATTTTTTTTTAAAAATATAAGGTTCAATAATTAATGTCCAGTGGTTCAATGTTAAGTTGACATTGAACTCTAAATTGGTATTATTGTTGTTTGTTTTGCGATAAGATCTATGTATTAAGTCATCATCAGATAATTTTAAGCTATGTTTATACGTTATTTGTTGATAAGCGCATTACATGAAACTGTTGTTGTTTTAGATATATGTATTAAAATGTAAAAAAATGCACATAAAATTACAAATTCAAGAAAAGCTTTTTATAAAATGAATTAATTTTAATTTGACAACTTTTTACAAATTCACAAAGCTCTTAATGTGCAAAAATGTATAGCAATGGACATTACTGAAGAAATCCTTGAAAGAGAGTTTTCATCAATACAATAAACATGCATTACAAAAAACAGTCCCAAATTGTCCGAGAAGAGAGAAAATCGCGTAAAACATGCAGTCAGTACAGGGTTCCAAGTCAACAGTACAGGACCGTATTAAAGACAAATAAGCGACGTTTTTGATACTTTGATTGAAAATTTAGCCGTTTGCGGTTTTCCAATAAAAAAACAGGTGTTACTTAATACAGATGAAAAAATTGTATCTAGAAGAAGAAAAATTGAAAAGGCTATAAAACCACGCTACCATTAGTAAACTGGTAGCGTGGTTTTATGAACCGCATTGGTATCGTTTAAAGATGATTTTTTCATATGGATAACATATAACAATAAACGGTAACTACACTATCTATTTCATAAAATTTCATTTCCACGCCATCAATAAAGAAAATTTAATCGACAAATATTTAAACTCAGCTTTTTTAAACTGTCCGATCACTGGCATATCCACCCTATGAAGAAGTTTTACAGGTGTTGTTTCTTAACAACTGGTCTTTTACACCGAATGCTCGAAGGTTTTTTGCAAACATGTTAATAATTTGTATGCATGCATCTCCGGTCATCGATATCACATCAGGATCCTTGTAAACAAATACCATGATTCATACTAAATAGCATACAATTACGATGTTTTTAATTCAGCTCGTGTGTGTAATCTAGTGCCACGATGTGCTTGTTTACGATATATTATGTTTAACATGATGATAAACTTTTAATCTTTGCTTGTAAGTACTATCCGGTTTAAGTTACCCTAAATTTCTTTGCTATTTTTACTTGTGTCTTGTGTATAAATAAGTTTCGTTTGGAAATGTAGTCATATGAATCTGATTCTTCACTACATGCGATATACGGATTATTATTTTTCGGCTTTCTAAAACCGTTCCTTAAAAATTTCTTTTTAAACTATTTTTTCTGTTCAATAGAGAATATTATTAACAGTTCTTGAAAAAAGTTATTAGCTATAGAGGACTAGAGAACAGTAGTTTATTATGTAAACATTATTGGATCTTTATTTGTCTACCACCTACATTCATGTACGGTTGGTTCTAAACTAGTTATTACAAAATTAATATTGAATATTGTCACTTTTAAAAGCAAATTACTGTTTTATTTTAAATGGAACACCCAGTATATTATTCCGATATTCAATCGGGAATTCATGTCTCTCCAAAATACTATTAATGTTGCCTACTCATCCAACAACGATTTTTCTAGATATTTTCATTTTTAAGATTTAGTGTCCGTAGATTTTTATTATTTGATAAAATCTAGGTGGCTGTGATATGTCTGACGTTACTTCAACATAGCTGTCACATTAGTTCAACTTTAACAACTAGTTCTAATTTTGTTTCAGTTAAAACAAAACAAAATTCTCAGAATTTTGCGGAAAATGGAAACTTATCCTAGTTTTAATTGTGTAATAATTAAAAAATGTTTTAAACGTGTATTTGTTTATTACCCATGAATATTTTACTCTACATTCTTTAATTTTTTTCTAAATTAACAAAAGGTATTTCCCTAACCACCTGGAGTTTATCAAATAATAAAGATCTACTTACGCAAAATTATAAAAATGAAAATATCTAGGAGAATCTTTGTCTAAGAGGTAGGCTTAATAGCTTTTTGAAAATATATCAATTCTCCATTGAATATCGGAATACTATATTGGATGTTCCATTTAAAATAAAGGAGTAACTTGCTTTTGAATGTGACCAATGTTCTATATTAATTTTGTTTTACCCTGTATAGCTTTTCGGGTCACATTTTTATTTAACATACAACGGTTATTTTAACTAAATATCAAGCTAGACAGAGGAAATTACAATTTAGATAGCTGTTATTGAAATTTAAAATTTATTCTTCATTTTCACGAAATTTGAAATATGTCAAAATCCTTACATTTTAGGCGTATGCTTCTTTAATGACTTCTTCAAACCTTTATTTTTTCCTAGAATTCGAAAATCAATTAATATATAGGTTGTACCATTACAAAAAAAAACAACTTTGATGCGTAACTTTTTTTGGGGACACCCTATAGAGTCCTCTATATTTTTAAAAAATGCTTGAAACTAATCTACATAAACTACCAAAAATTCATTTCGATATAAAGTACCGTTCTCCATGGAGCTCCCGCGTCGTATGAGAGGCTCCACCCTGTATACCGGGTGCGGCTCAAAAGTGGCTCAGCCCTATAACTTTTCTAATAAAGTAAAAAAATACCGAGAGTGCCATTTAAAAATCAAAAGTTGTAGTCATTTCCGGTGAAACAGGAAGTGACCAAAAACAATTGAATACGTCAATCAATCCTAATTTATGTCATATACTAAAATACCAGATCTCGTTTTTTTATCTGAAAAAATAAAAAAGTTATAGGGGGTGAGCCACTTTTGAGACGCACCCGGTATAAATCTCTTCAAGTTTAAACGGAATATAATTTCAACAAGACAAACTTTCGCGCGGGAGTTTCGTTTATTTTATCGCATCGGAAACGTAAACAAATTCGATTGCGGCCATGTTGTTTCCTTCGAAAATAAAAAGCGGGAAATTTCACTGACTAACGCAGTTTGTCGTATTCGTCATAATCCGCCAATATTTTGCACTTCACCCGCTTATCTTATCTGTTAACAGCTCGAACCCGCTGCAGTTGTTCAACTTTATCCGGCAGTGTCTGGCCACGGAAATGAAATTTCTGCAGGCGGCCGGCGCCGATTTTTTGGGAATGGGGCCCACGTTGCCGCTGTCCAACTCTGCCGCCGAAGTCCTACACAAATTGGACGATTTAAGGAGGCGCACTCAGGTATGTATTGCGGAACTGTGTTATTTTAGCCGTTGACTAAAGATAATAATGTGATTTGCATAAACGACATAAGTACCACAGATTAGGTATCCTATAAGTATACAGATAAAAATCTTGTCCCTAATTCGTGGTACGAAAGTTGTTTTTTATGACGATGTGCAAACGAGTCAAATTTCCTGTGCGCAAAAATAAACTCGCGTAAAATAACAATAAACAGCGTAATAGAGAGATATCGCTAAACCGAATAGCGTGCATGGACGTTAATAAGGCTAGGTGTTATTTCCTTTACGTGAGGTGGTATTAATTCTATTCATTTATAGTTATCGGATCGGAAAGAATTCTGATCGCGTCGCGTCCGCTATTTAAACTTAACCTAACTTTGAAATTGTTTTATTTACTAGGTATTTTAAAACTAAAGGGCTAAAGTGCTTATTTCCAGTGCTTTATTGTTCAACGTCTGCCAGTGGGTTTAGGGCAACCAGCAACAAATTCTCTTAGAAGGGCTAAGTCGTCATCTGCTGTAAACCTAAGACTCTTTATAGGTTCTTTAGTATTGGAAGAGGTGGAATCCATATTTTGTGCCATATTTATTTAATTAAAACTAATCCCAGCTACTTAAATATCAAATTACCTAATAAAACTAAAGCAATAATTCAAAACAATTCAAACATAACCTAAAATAAAAGATCTCGCCGGCCGGCTCCGGTTGTCAAATACCCGCACATGCCCATTTAAGCAATTTTTAAACGTTATCAGAGGTTATTTAGAAAGAGCGCTTGGTGTAATTGATCGTCAAATTACGTCAGACCGTAACGTTATTAGCGGGTGTTAAAAATTGACTCGGGCATATCGTAATCATGATAAGGTACGCGTAAATACTGGATGACGCTGTTCAGTTTTCCGATATCTCTCTAATAACTGTGCCGGTCAGGCGCTGTGTACAATTTTAGAGGCCATAAGTGGGCGTGCTATGTGCGCAAACTAGTCACCTAACTAGTGCCCGATTCCGAAAATTGGAACCACGAAAAACAATAAAGAAAAAACAAAGATTATAATCTGCTGTATAAGTACTTTTTTTTTGCAAAAATTATATTTGTCGTTTATAAGTGATAGGAATGTAATTCTATAAACTCTGTAAGGTTATTGCAGTCTGTCCAGTAAGAGAATTATGATTTCGTCAGTTGACATTAAAAATGACAGAAATAACAATGATAGAATAGCATACAGTAACTATCATACGCATATTCTTTTGTTGGACCGACTATTCTATACTTCCACAAATTCTTGGAACAGTGTAACGAATGGATTGTAGAAATTATAATACAAGTTAGACCTTCTGAAGATATCAAAATATGTATTAACTTTTTTTATTTTTTTAGAATTTATACAAATTATACTTCTTAATACTTTTAGAATAATTATTTGTATATACCGGCCCTATATAAAGGCCATATTTGATGTATAGTTTATTAACGATGATGTAGAAACAGGGTACTTTATTATTTATACGTTATTTGCAGTCTACTGCTGAAGATGCTCGAAAACTGGAACAGGATCAGGAAGCCTTTGCTTTGCAGTACCACGAATGTACAAAAGTTAATGGTATGTTGAGTTTTATATTCCTGTTGAAGTATATTTAAAGCTAAATTTTCCTTTTAGCACATATCCAACAACTGGTTAGTCAAGGCACGGCTCAAGATCAACAAGCCACTTACATAAAACGAAAGGAAATGCTGGAATTAGATTTAAATCGCCGGGTAAGTAAAAAAGTCAATTATTAATAATGAAGCTTTAGTTTGCGGAAATTAGTATTTTGTCAACGTATTTTAATTAGGTTGCCGCTCTAATGGAACTGAGGTTAAAATTAACCGAAAAATACAAACAAATTTATCAAGTACTACATCAATTACAAAGTCAGATAATCGACGACGAGCTAATTCGGTGGAAGCGCGACCAGCAATTAGCCGGAAACGGAGTACCTTTCACCAGTAATCTGGACCAAATCCAAGACTGGTAAGTAGTACTAGTACTTTTTTAAAGAAACCTCGTAGCAACGATTCATTTCTAGGTGCGAAAGCTTGGCAGAAATAATATGGCACAGCAGACAGCAAATTAAAGAGGTGGAAAGGCTTAAACAAAAATTGGCACTCGATCCACCAGGAGTGGTCGATGTTTTGCCATCGCTTTTAACCGAAATCACCCAGCTGCTATCTTCGCTCGTAACTTCGACTTTTATCATCGAGAAACAACCACCACAAGTCATGAAAACCAACACAAGGTAAAACATAATTATATTCTTTGAATTAAATATATTGTTTATGCAGTTTTAGCGTGGGTTTACATGCACCCGTAATGCGTTGTCCATCGTTGTTTTTTTTTTTCAATTTTATTGGTTTATTTCAAGAATTACAGATCATACTTGAACAAGATTGAGGTGACAGAACGACAGACCACGCATGACGGATAATAATAGTAGGTGTAAGGAAGTTTCCTCGTTCATTTTTAGGTAGTTAAATCAATCCTGTTTTTCAACTGTTAAATCAGCAAAGCAAATTAACATGGCGATACTTATTTCCTTTAAGTAACCATTGTTTTTTTTTTGCTTTTTTGCTTATTCTATAAGCGAATAGAATCCGAGACAGATGTGTATTTCGGGAGGCCATTTTTACTGAGAAAAAATGTGCCGAAGTGATTTCATAACTCAGTTCATTATAGATAAAACTATACTATAAAATTGCATGTGTGTGCGACAGGCTGTAATGCCGGCCACATACATAACGGTCTACCGGAGAGGTCTGCCTGTGCAGGTGTACCTGCACAGGTTTACCGCGTGTGTGGGACATATCGGGTATGCCGGAGAGCTCTTCAATTCGTTTCGAGATGGACATGGAATGGGTTGAAAACGACGATGCACTTTCACTGATGTGAAAAAGAAGCGAACAAAGTGGTGTAAAAACTGGTTATTATAAAGAAAAACGTATAGTCACGTGAATTTAATGGCTGTATTGAAATTCGAACATGCAGATTACAAAAACTACAAACATCTCCGAATGGATGAGATCTATATATTTCGATGAATCTGTCAGAACTCTCTTTGAATTCAGTGGCGCCACATTCTTTCCGCAAGATATATGGAAGTTTGTACCACGTGGGCAAACCGTACACTACACTTGCCACAGACAGCAGATAACAACTGATGCGACCTGCGCAGGCCATTGGCGAACATGCACACACGCACAGGTTTATCGTAAGGTGCTTCTTTAAAAATTGATTTTTAATCTTGCGCCGGTCGCCTGCACCGGCTAAAAAAACTGCACAGGTTTGTTCCAATACACGCTCCAGTCTAACTGTGCCAGACTGGCCTGCACAGTCTGCCTGTGTTTAATAATAAAAATAAAAATAAATAACTGTGCGTTTGTGGAGGCTCTAAAAAGGTTCTTAAATTAGTACAAATATTTTAGGGGTGGTATATTTCGACCCCAGAAACACGTCTATAAGGTTTCTTTCGCGATTCTTTTTTAAATTTGGTATTTTTCAAAAAAAATGGATTTTTTTAATTTTTAATTAAAAAATATCTTAATATTAATTAAGATATTATATTGAGAACCACAGTTTTTTTTCTGGGTTTTCTTTTTTGTAAACATAATCTACTACCGATGATGAGCACCCACGAGGTTTCATAAAAGTCGGCGCCCCTGTATAGTGTAATCCTTCATCTTTAATTTCCTTCTTCATTTGTGTAATAATACTTAGCCAGATTTACATAAAACGTTAAATGCCCAACGCTTATTTTGCTACTTTTTCGGACTATTTAATGGACTAAAATGTTTCTTTTTGATGTTCAAATAAATTTGCATTAATTTTATTGAAGAACTCAATTTTAAATATTTTCTCCATTTGTTGCCAAATTGACGACTCACTTTATATAAATTGATGGTTCTCGTAGATTTACAGCAACTGTTCGCCTGTTGGTTGGTGGTAAGCTAAATGTACACATGACCCCTCCCCAAGTTAAGGTTACCATCATATCCGAATCGCAAGCTAATCTTTTACTGAAAAATGACAAATTGATCAAGGGCGGTGACAGTTCAGGAGAAATATTAAATAACACAGGTATAAGTTAAAAAAAAGTACATTTTTGATATGTTAATGAAAACATTTTCTTATTCAGGTACAATGGAGTATCAGCAAACAACCAGACAACTCTCTGTAAGTTTCCGAAATATGCAACTGAAGAAAATCAAGAGAGCAGAAAAGAAAGGCACTGAGAGTGTGATGGATGAGAAGTTTTCATTATTTTTCCAGTCTCAGTTCAGTGTTGGGGGTGGAGAATTAATGTTCCAGGTAAAATCATTTTTTTTTGCTGTGAGATAATTTTATTAGTAGTATTGAAAAAAAGACTAAAGAAAGAGCATATTATCGTCAAAGTTAGAGAATCCCCAAAGGTAGTTTAATATAGCTATGTGATATTCTGGTTTATCAGTGGCGTCCTATTCTTTTTAAATTGTTAAAATATAAATTCGGGTAGAGTCATTAATTTGCTGGTTTATTGTTTTATATTGCGTCAATAAATGTTAATATTAAAAAAAATGTAATTATTTAATAACAAAAATACTGGTACGCTACTGAAACTACTAAATAAAATTCATAAAACTCGTTTATACAAGAGCCTCTTCATCTACTTACTCGACGAGCTGCCACTGATAATTATTTAATTTTAATATAATTAGGAGTCGTAAAGTGGTCGCATATAAAGAAGGAGCGCTATGTAGTTGCGTCATTGATGACGATCCTGTCTCCTTTAGTTGTCAACACTGTGTTGGAAATATGTTTAGGTTAATAGAGTGGGTTGCATTTCTATTTTGTGACTGTCATATGCTTTTGCCGGACAGACATTAGGTTGTCATTAACAGTATGCTTGATTAGAGTTAATTTATCTATCTATTGCAGGTGTGGACTCTTAGTTTGCCTGTAGTCGTTATCGTTCACGGCAATCAAGAGCCCCACGCTTGGGCCACAATAACGTGGGACAACGCATTCAGTGAGCCAGGAAGGTGCCCGTTTCAAGTACCAGACAAAGTAAGTAAACAATCTCTGTTGCGTTTAGTGCGTTAAAAATTTAGCTAAACTTTATTCTGAAAGTACACGCTCGAGTGAGTACTTTGAGCAGAAGATTAATCATTTTCTGCAAAACAAGGTGCACAATATGCTTGGTTGTATTCACGGCAAATAGTTCATACTTGATAGTTGATCTTTTTTGTTTGATAGGCGAATTTGTATAATTCTTATCCTATAAACTTTTAGTCACGTGATTAAGCTTGACAGGCACAGCGTTGTCCACTTTTACATATATTCTTGTAATCAAAATATTTAAGAAACAAAAATAAATTAATTATAAATATGTATAGCTATAAACAGTTATTTACATCAACAAAACTCACCTTCTTAACAGCACTTATGAGACATAACATTACTACCGCTTTCCTGTTCATACCTACCGTTTCCTGTTACTTCTGTTCGCGACAGGCGGAACTACGGCTCTCTAGGAGCACGACGGCTGGAACGAAAACGCGCGACAGCTGGAGCGAACACGCGCGACGGCTGGAGCTAAACAGGTCGCTATGCGGTTACTACAGTTTCAGCTAACTTCAAGAGCGATTATAAATAATTTATTTGCAAATTATAAATCTATATATATATAAATCATCAACGCCCAGACCAAACCCTTGACCCTAGAAAGCTGAAATTTTGCACAGAGGTTCTTTTTATGATGTTTACGTGAGATAAGAAAGGATTTTTTTAAATTCATTTCCTAAGGGGGTAAAAAGGGGGTGGAATATTACAATATTTTTTATTTAAAAAACGGTCAAGTTTTCGAAAAAAAAACGCTTAAACACGTATATTTTATTTTCTTTTTTTACATATTTTGAGATTTTTTAAAAATGTATACAGGGTGTCACGAAAAATCTGATCATTGATTAACCACGATCCTGCTTAAAGCGCTTGACGTAAAAAGTTGATTTTTGGAAAACGGATTTACTTTAGGGTGTAGAGGTTCGATAAGAAGGGATTTTTCGAAACTCGAATTCTAAGGGGGTGAAACCACCCCTCAAATATTAAAATATTTTTTATTGAAAAACCGGTGAGTTTTTCGGAAACACTCTTAAACACGTATATTTTATTTTGTTGTTTTACATATTTTAAGATTTTTATAAAATTTATACAGGGTGTTTCATAAAATATGGCCATTGAATAATCACGATTCTACTTAAACTGCTTGACGTTTAAAGCTGATTTTTGGCAAGCGGATTGACTGTGGGGTGTAGAGGTTCGATAAGGAGGGGTTTCTCGAACCTCAAATTCCAAGAGGGTGAAAACGTCCCTCAAATAATCTATACTAATATATAACATTCTTAAATGACTCACTGATTTATCACGATCCTGCTCAAACCACTCAACGTAAGAAGCTCAATTTTGGCATACAGGTTGATTCTACGGTGTAGTGGTTCAATAAGAAGGGATTTTTCGAAATCCCAGTTCCAAGGGGGTGAAACCACCCCTCAAATATTACCATATTTTTTATTTAAAAAACGATCAAGTTTCCGAAAAAACGCTCGTACACGTATATTTTATTTTGTTTTTTACATATTTTAAGATTTTTTAAAAATGTATACAGGGTGTTTCGAAAAATCTGGTCATTGATTAATCACGATCCTGCTTAAAGCGCTTGACGTAAAAAGCTGATTTTTGGAAAACGGATTGACTTTAGGGTTTAGAGGTTCGATAAGAGGGGATTTTTCGAAACTCTAATTCTAAGGGGGTGACACCACCCCTCAAATATTAGAATATTTTTTATTTAAAAACCGGTGTAAAAAAAACGTATATTTTATTTTGTTGTTTTACATATTTTAAGTTTTTTTTATAAATTTATACAGGGTGTTTCATAAAATATGACCATTGAGTAATCACGATTCTGCTTAAACTGCTTGACGTTTAAAGCTGATTTTGGCAAACGGATTGACTGTGGGGTGTAGAGGTTCGATGAGGAGGGGTTTCTCTAATCTCAAATTCCAAGAAGAAAACGCCCCTCAAATATTACAGTATTTGTTATTTAAAAAACGGTTAGTCTTTCAGGAAAACGCTTGGACACGTATAATTTATTTTGTTTTTTACATATTTTTAATTTTTTTAAAAAATCATACAGGGTGTTCCAAAAAGTTGGGTAATTGATTAACCACGATTCTGCTCCAGTTTGTATGTTAATGGAAATTCTTGCTTTGCTTTATCATATCACCATTACAAATGATTAATTCGACGCGAACGAAGTCGCGGGTACATGCTAGTAATCTATAATTTTGTCGTCATTACGATCGTCGTTCTTCAGTAACAGGTTCCTGATTTGTTGTGGACCGCGACACGACGTTACAAAAAAATACCGCTCCAAAATCGCGTTACTCAAATACCGACACATCACTACTTCATATTGAAAGAGGTTCTAAAAATAAAATATTCGACTGCAAGGTCGACTAGTTAAATTTATAAGCTTAAAATATCACAACACAATTCATTTGCACGAAAAACTTTTAATACAAAACTAAAGTCTCAAAACGAATGACAACGTCAGGAAATAAATAAATAAATGTGACAACTGCACATTTTTTACAGTAGAGCTACCACCTGAAACCCCAGTGGGAAATTCAAATTTCAGTTAGTCAGCACGACGCCGAATATATGTCCGTGGTTGGCAACAATGAATTTAAATTTGCGTCCTCGATTACGTAACTAAAAGTTTAATTGGTATCGAATATACTTATTGCATTGATATAAAGGCTACATTTTAATAAATAATGATTTAGGTTCCATGGGGTAAAGTGAAAGAGACGTTGTCTCAGAAGTTCAAATGGGCCACTGGACGCGGTTTGACCGAAGATAATCTGCGTTTCCTCGCTGAGAAAGCTTTCCGTGGAAACTACAGTGAGTCAAGCAACTGTATGCTCAGTTGGGCACAGTTCTGCAAGGAACCACTGAGCGACAGAAATTTTACTTTCTGGGAATGGTTCTTTGCAATAATGAAATTGACCAGAGAACATTTGAGAGGACCATGGGTTGATGGGTAAGATAATCATATACATTGAGTGTTTATAGGCTTGGTGCATTCTCCGCCGGTGCTGCCACCATCGGAGAATATCGTAAACAAACAAATACACCGGTTTAAATAGCGAGAGTACGAATAATTTATTATTTTATTATTCTAAAAGTGTTAGGAAGTATAATTTGTGAGAATTTTAAAAATAAAAATAAAAACTTAAATATAAATATATATAATATAAATTGTATTATAATTTATTATTGCAGAAAACAACTTTTTAGATGAGTTCAACTACGGTAGCGAGCATAGTTTTAATCACCGGTTTTGATAGCAGGGCATATTTGGGGCTATTTCGGCTATAACGAAATTTTTTTAAAGGTACATAATTATAAATTTTAGAAGATGTTAATAAAACATTTAATCACCAGTTGATTAAAAAAAGTATACCATTAATATTCCAAATTATATCTTATCCTCTCATAGTATATGTCTATTTAATTTTTTGATTATGTAACGAGCACTTTGTTTACTCACTTGTTTCGGCGAACTGCTTGAATCAATTTTTGCTATTGATCAAATCGGTGTGAGAACCTATGAAGCTATAAAATGTTGTTTTGGAAGAGTTGAATATCCGGGAAAGTTGAGTTGTTGAATGTTATTGCACCGAACAACGCCCTAATTACGCTCTCCTTTATGCGTTAACACTTTTTCGGTAATATTTACATTTGAAATTGTCACAACACAACACGACGCCTAGTTCGAATTCTTTTTCACTTATTTTTTACTACCTGAAACAGCGTTATATCACACAAACCTCGTACCTGAGTGTTTTATAGTCTCAATAACTGCACTAGCAAAAAACTAAAATACTTATATATTATGACAAAACCCCGATTTCAGTATTATTTTAATGTGCTCAACATGACGGCGCGGCGGCGTGAAATAGGTACTGATAATTTCAGATTTTTGCTGTTGAAGCGCTGCGGTCGGAATTCGTTCAAATCAGCTGAAATGCACCGAGCCTATACAAATGTTTGCTCTCACATACAACTATTATTTACAAAATTAATTATGTTACAGCGCCATTATGGGTTTCGTGAAGAAGAAACAGGCCGAGGAAATGCTTTCTACTTGCCAAGCTGGTACTTTCCTTCTAAGATTTTCAGACAGTGAATTAGGTGGCATTACTATAGCGTGGGTTTCCGGTAAGGCATTTAAATTATCATGAAACAAATATATACCTAAACGTTTTTTTGATCACATTTTAGATACACAGGAGGTGTTCAGTTTGCAGCCGTTTACCTCTAAGGACTTTTCGGTGCGATCCCTTGCGGACAGAATTGCCGACTTGGGCCATTTGGTGACGTTGTATCCGGACACGGCGAAAGAAATATACTTTCAGAAATATTATACGCCATTTCAAGGTATTTTAATCCCCTTTTTAATTATGAATAATCAGTCTTTGTATAATATTGTTATTTTTTTCTAATTGACAATTTTATCACAACTCTTTAAAAAAACTGTACATACATATTAAAACTTTGTGGGTACAAAACACTTGATTTAATTATGACCTTCATATTTATTTTATCTTCTATAGCAGTTTACATTTCTTTTTTCCAGAACAACGGCCGTCAACTAATGGATATATTAAGCCTGTATTGGTAACACAAGTACTTGGACTGGCTGGAACCAACTACAATACACCTCCTCACGCTTTTATGAGTCCAGATCCCACTAGAGATACACCTTCTGTGGATAGCAGGTAAGCTGTTTTTTCTTTTTAAGCCTTTATTTTTTATAGTTTATTATTATTACTTTCATAATATAAGGTCCTTTATACATGAACTTTGTTGTCTTAATACTTACTTGTATGTGGATATGTGATTTGTTTGTCCATTCAAAATGAAAACTTCGAATTGATCGTTTAATCGCTTCTGATGGTGCTTGGCTCTCAGATCAGATGGCTATTTAATTTTCGGCTCAAATACTTCTATCCCTGCTCCTACTTTGATTTTGGAAGCATCAGGCAGGTTGCCACTCTGCATTTTGCAGAGATTTTGCCTTGCTGTACGTTGCTCTACTTTAATGTACCAAGTATCATGGGTCTTACCGCTTAAAAAATTGATCTTGTTTTAACGTGCACATTAAGCCGAAGAGTTTTTTGTGAGTAATTGTTCTTGTCTTCGTAATTGGCGAAGTCATACTATGTTTAGAACGTCAGTTTGGAGGTGGGGTAATATCATAGTTTAAGGAAAAGAGTAGTTGCACTCTCCCAAATATTTTCTGTCAGTTTTTACAATCTGTCGAATATCGGCAGATTGCAGAGCGTTTCAGTTGAGTTCCGTCCGTCGACCTGCGAGGTTCGAGCGTTGCGTCCCAGCACAGAGACGGATTGACAAAAAATGAGTGCCTTACTGTGTGGTGCTATTGGTTGTAGTAATAATTCAAAAAATTGTGCTTTGAATTTTTTTTTGAGAGTCATTTGTGATCATGTTTTTGTTCAGGTTAATTTTATCCTGACTGATTACTACTTAATAATTTGATATTATTTTCGTTTAAACCTCAATTTTTTATCGATTTTACTTTTGACAACCATCCCTTGCTTGCTGTTTAACGAACTGCACCATCATTGAACAAAAATTTGCTAGTACCGAAAATACCGAAAAAAAAAATGGAAATCCCGGTTCCTTAGAGGCGTAGCACCGAAATTACCGGTTCCGAAAAACAGCTCCCGTTCCGGAAACGCTATAACGTACCATAACCGTGATTTTCCCTATACAGGGTGAGTTTTAAATAAGTGCAAATACTTTTAGGGGTAGTATATTTTGGCACCAGACATATGAGGATTTTTCTGCGCAATTTTTTTTTGAAAAAAAATCTGGATTTAGTATTTTTTTTAGTTTTTAGTTAAAATAAAATAATTTATTGATAATATGATCACTAGGGTTCAGTTTAGGGTTCAACCGGAAATTCCCGGTTCTTTTGAGATATCAAAGAACCGGGACTCGAAAATATTAACTCCTGGTTCTTTCGGTACCTTCGGGACTCGGTAACAATAACTAAAAAATTATTCTTTTATTACGTGAGAAAGTAGTGATGCTATTTCTCATTGTTCTTGCTTCTTTTCTCTTTTGAAATTTCTGTAATGTTTGTTAGCAATTATTGAAGTTTAAATATGTTATTTTATTATTTAGTACAATGTGTTGTTGAATGTATTAGTTATCCAAAGAAAATCATCTAACCCATATATATCTACAAAACAAACATATTAATGTTAAAATTAAACTTGTTTTAAATTCAAAAAAAAGTTGTAGAAAATCTTTGAAATAGATAATAAAATATGTCATATATTTTTTCCGCATTTCTTCCCATCAAGATGATACAGAAGAATTGTTACTTACACGAAATGTGAAAATATTCTGTTTTCAAGCAAATTTTTAACCGATGATGAATTTTATTTTATTCTGAACTCATATTTTCCTAAATACATCTCTGTGAAACTATGGCGAGTGTCACTACTATACTTTGCCTAGTTATAGACCACGACTATACAGCTAGGTCAGTGGTCACGGGACGCGAGAACAAGGTCATATAAAGTGGCAGAAAAAGAACAAAGGATTTGACAAGGAGTAAAGCTACTAGTTTCTTTATACTATGGTCTTACTATCACGGTATATATCCAGCTCAAAATGTTAGTTTATTTCCGCCGGTCTCATATGCATATCATGAGAGCCTTTGTGGCTTTGCTGGTAATGTTCTTAATATGCATGTTTCATAGAATTTTCCTGTCCGTAGTTATTCCCAGATATTTGAATTCCTGTGATGGCAGTACTTCTTTTCCATCTAGTTGGATTTTTTTATTGGTCTTGAGATCATAAATTAAAAAGTTGTCTCACTCTAAAGTCAATTTCGAGGGAACAAAATGTGGTTATAGTTGACAGATAAACAATGCTTTAAACGTCAGTTGTCAAACGATCGGTAGCCAACTGGCGTTTAAAACATTGTTTATCTGTCAACCATATCCAACGGTTGTTCGCCCGAAATTGACTTAACATATTTAAATATCAGTTCCGCATATCTTTTTCACATAAAAATATTCTGACGCAATTGTCATCTTTCTTTAATCAGAGTGTATTCGATATTTTTTCAGTGTTCTATATAGATCATCACACTTATATGGTATGCTATTAACAAGCTGGGATATAAGTTAATATTTATATTTTTTTTGGAGAATTAAATGATCATGAAGTTCATGTATAACGTTCCTTATACAGGATGATAAGTTTGAAAAAAAAATAAAATATTTTATCTCTTAGCTTTCAGAGTATGCTCGATCTCTAAAAGAGGTTTATGGGTTATGAAAGAATATAACATATATTAGCTTTATATAATATGAGTGATAAAGATTTATAAACATTTTTATATCATATATGCTGTCTTTAAATATTTAAGAATTATTAATACAATTAAATTTGTGACAGTTATTATATTAGTTGTATTTTTATATCTATTTTATACATACGAAATCGCTTGTCTTGGCGTTTTGGATTTTGAAGTTTTTATACATTTTGTAAAGTTTATGAATTTAAATATAATATAACGTTTATATTTAATTAAAACAAATTTCTAATAAAATACTTTTTAAACTACATTTTCATTCCGTTATTTTATTCTATTCGTGTAGAATTTTTATTTCCCGATAATCCATTATATTTTACAATTATTACTCATATTTGTAACCCCTATGACAAATTACATGCTGCAAACAGACATAACCAGACACACTTGCAACTTTTTTTTGGTTTCAAGTTTATTACAAATTTTATTTTTCTTACACTATGTTTCAAGACATTAGTAATAGGTTGCATACTTGGAATAAAGGGAAATATATCATACTTGATGTTTCTTAGGTGCCAAGTTCATTTCTGCATTAGATAAATTAAATATTTGATAAATTTTTGGAAATGTAAAAACCATAAAAGATAAGTTAGTAGGCAACAATATAACTTTTAATATACTCAAAAATTAATATTTAATTTAGGAAAAAGTAAAAAGTCTCCTGGTATAAATCTATTTTCCATAAAAAAACTTTTTAATTATATTACATGTGAAATATTTAACGTGTCTTGAACTTTATTTAAATATTGATTTATGATATAAGTTTTTCTTCTCAAAATTCGTGATGTCTCTCTCATTGATTGTTATTTTCATAGCCACTATGACGCCGATTCTTTTCGATAGGATGGTATTCGTGATTATACAGGGTGAGTCTTAAATAAATGCAAATATTTTTATTGGTGGTATACCGGGTGCGTCTCAGAAGTGGCAAACCCCTATAACTTTTTTATTTTTTCAGATAAAAAAACGATATGTTAGTATATGACATAAATTAGGATTGATTGGTGTATTCAGTTTTTGGTCACTTCCTGTTTCACCGAAAATGACTACAACTTTTGATTTTTAAATGGCACCCTCGGTATTTTTTTACTTTATTCGATAGAAAATGACATTCTGAATCGAATGCCATGTCAACTTTTGACATTCTCGCTTAATAAAAAATTGTATTTTAAAATTCAATCTAGAGTGCCATGGCTATGTTAAAAACACTTATTCTTCATCAAGGAGCATTGGAAAAATAAATTTGATTGTCCAATCTTTTTAGCGAGGGGTAAACCGCAGAGGAATTATGGTGTACACTATGAAGGAATTCTACAGGAATTCCAAGGAATTACGAGGAATTCCAAGGAATTCCATAGGAATTACTAGGAATTCCAATTATTTCCGTAAGAATTCCAATGAATTCCAAGGAATTACAAGCAACTTTATAAAAAATTAACGAACATTAGTAAACCATGAATACTATAATAGGTAGTACTAAATTTAAAGAAAAACGTTTTGCAGGCGATTTTTTACTATCCGTTTTTCGTTTTAGAATCGCTTCCAAAATTTCCCAATATCAAATATCTACAGGTTAGATAGATATTCTTTTAATTTAATATTGTACCCTCGATTATATATCTAAAATATATTCCAATAGTACGGCCGAACCACCCCCGAGAGATCTACTTATAACGTTCCCTGATTTCGCCATTTTAAAGAAACCCTCATAAGATTTTTTTATTCAGTACTCAGAAAGTGTAAAGTTGATTTTTTCATTTCCTCGGAATAATACCTAGGTATATACTATAGGGAAATTAATACCACTTTGGGTGCACTTCATCAATGATACCATGCGTAATCTTATGGAATTTACTGGTGATCGTATTATGACGTGCAACTGAAGTTTTATTAATTTCCTTTCCTATAGATACGAGTATAACTAGGTACCTATCATTTTCAAAAAATCTCGAGAAAAATTAATTTTAATAAGTAAGTTCCGACATATTTCCAGTATTTTCACCTCATGATCCCCTATTAGTCCTAAAATTTAACTAAAAAAACGTAAATCTCGTAAGAGTACTTTTTATTGTTAGATCTAGTACTTATAGAGACATTAGACATTTATAAAAATCACCAGAAAATTCATAGCGGAACTGCGAAACCGAGGTGGCAACGCTGGTTCAGACTGAAAGAGTTACCGAGTTCGTACCACGGAAGACCTTGAATGATTGACCTTGACCTTGAAGACCAGGAATTCCAAGGAATTCCGAAGGAATTACGAGGAATTCTGAGGAATTATTTGAGTAAAAGGAATTACGGTGTACACTTTTCCCTCTGCGGTTTACCCCTCGCTTTTTAGTGTCTTTTCCTGGGCAGTTAAAAAATGCTCAAATCGTATTTTTAATCATATCTCAGTTTTTTCAAATGGAACGAGGGTGGCTCATTAGCATATTTGGAAAAAACATTTTTTTACGAATAATTTGATACCACACACTTGGTATTTCAAGTCAAATTTTCGTTACGAACCGCAAATTATAATTTCAAATAAACTATATGCGAAAATGTCAAAAGTTGACATATGATATGTCATTCTATTCAGAGTGACATATACTATCGAATAAAGTAAAAAAATACCTGAGGTGCCATTTAAAAATCAAAAGTTGTAGTCGTTTCCGGTGAAACCGGAAGTGACCGAAAACAATTGAATACGTCAATCAATCCTAATTTATGTCATATACTAACATACCAAATCCCGTTTTTTAACAAAAAAAAATAAAAAAGTTACGACGCATACCGGGTGCGTCTCAAAAGTGGCTCGCCCCTGTGGCTTACAGCCTAACCAAATCGCCCCCAGGAACAGATCTATGAGTTTTTTGCGATTTAAAAAAAAATAGTTAAAAATGTAATATCTTGATAATATGGCAACATAGGTTGTAAATTAATTTAGGAGAAGGAAAAAAAACAGAAAAAATCCAGTAGTTCCCAAATTTTAAGCCAAAAAATATATATTTTTTTTTAATTTTTAAAGTAATATAAGTCTTATTTTGGCCTAATTTGAAAAACGGCAGACACAGAATATATATTTCTTTTATCGAGATCTCCCACTCCTAAAAATATTTGCACTTATATAAGACTCACACTGTATATTTACACCGTTGAATATAAATACTAAGAACGGAACATAGACACAAAATTTGCGTTACAGCGGCGGTATTTTAATAAACAAACAAAAGATTTTGCCGGTTTTCTTAAAAAATATACAAATTTTTAATAGAAATAAATACATTATAGTTCATACCAAATAAACTTTTTAGTGACGTGATTAAGCTTGACCGACACAGCGTTGCCTACTTTTACATATTTTCTTTTAATCAAAATATCTTAGGAAATAAAAATGAATTAATTATAAATATATGTATACAGTTATTGTTCACATTAACAAAACTCTTTAACAGCACTTAAGGGACATAAAGGGCCATTACTATCGCTTTCCCGTTCACGGCTGTTGAGCTGCTTCGGCATCTGGTACATTTCACACTAAAAGCGGTTTTAAAAAGAATTTTCGACTGCAAGGTCTACTAGTAAAAATTTGAAGCTTAAAGTATCACAACACAATTCACTTAAACCAAAAACTCGTAATACAAAACCAGTGTGTCAAAACGAACGACACCATGCCAGGAAATAAATAAATAAATGTGTCAACTTGACATTTTTTACAGCAGAGCTACCACCTGAATCCCCAGCGGAATATTTAAATTCCAGTTAGTCAGCCCGGCGCCGAAAATGTCCATGGTTGGCAACAATGAATTTAAAATCGGGCCCTCGATTACGTAGCTAAAAGTTTAATTGGTATCACTTATAGAGTGTCAATAAACTCGAAAGATTTTAACATTTTTATATTGAGATAAGTTTTAAGTATGCCATGGTTATGGTCTGTGTTGCAGCAGTGTTAAGTCTGGTTGTGTTCTGTTTACAGCTATGCCGGATCTGTGGCCACCACCGCTACCGCACCTCAGTTAGGCATGGACTACTTGGATCAGTTGGACGACAACAGTTACGCAGCTCTCGGCCTCAATAACGATTTCGATCTCATGATGAATTACGGCAAATAAAAAACAGAAAGATAAGTTAGGAAGGTATTGTTGTTTTTTAATTCCACGATCTACGAGAGTTTCTGTTACTTGAAGGGATACTGTGGCAGCTAGTAGTAGGTTTTTTTTAATAAAATTGAGCCATATATGTGTAATTAAAATGCCATTATACAATTTAGGGTGAAACATTTGACGTTTCAACAAAAAACATTAATTTTACCTCAAAACGCCCTTCTTTGAAAAACAAAGCTGGAGCAATATTGCGAATGCTGCATCATTCTTATAAGATGATTATAATGATGATTCTTATAAGAATGATGCAGCATTCGCAATATTGCTCCAGCTTTGTTTTTCAAAGAAGGGCTACGCTGCGGCGGTCTCGGAGATCAGGTGTTGTAGCTGACAAAAGAGATAAAAGTTGATACATTTCTTTGCGGTATTGCCGGATTTTGCATCAAAATTTCAAACCGCACAAGTAGGCGTTTATGAAAAATGATGCATCTACGATTGGAACACATTTACCTACAAACGTAAAAACCGGCAACACTGTATGCTTTTTATTTTGTCTCTCTGTCTGTCAACTGGTCATTTATATTTATCTCTGTTGCATGCATTAAATACAGATGTTGTTTTTACACGATCAGAGAAGAACAATCGTAGAGAAACGACAAAAACCGTCGGCGTCGGCACTATTGAAGTGAGGGGGACCAAGTTTTGTGACCTTCAAATTGGCATATTTGAGAGATCGCCGGTTTCTAGCTACTCTGAGAGAAATTCAATGAAGGCAAAAGAAATGAAAAAAGCTATAAACTTCATTTAGGAATCATATTGAATAGTAACTATCTTTTAAGATTTAACACGGGTTTCCGCGGTTTGTGGATTTACCGCGTTCTAATCATTTTCTAACCTATTCCTTTTAGAGGGACATTTTCGAATCGTATCTGATAATATTGTTTGTTTCGAAATTAATATCTGAAAGTGTATTTTTTAATTAAAATTATAAATAAAACAATTTTAAGACAATTTCGAATATTTATCAGCTGTTATCACAAGAGTTAAAACAAACCAAAAAGTAAATAACATAATTAGAGTTGAGGGTTGGAACCGGGGTGTTACAACAGCAAAATAAAACACTAATTTACCGTAATACCCTAAAACACTTTACTTCTGCAGTGCATCAGCAGATGATTAAAACTATGTAACTGTATATTAAAAAATCATAGTTTACATAAAAAAACATATTACATTAATTTAAAGATAACACAATTTAAATTAGCGTCGCTAATATATTATATTCGCGATAAAATATTATTTAATTTTCTAATACAGAGTTTAAATTTTCTAATTATTTTTTATTAAACGCTAACAACCTGCACCTATTTTAAGTTTTAATAATATTTAGTTCTGAAAATTAGTTCTTTCTTTAAGTAATACTGTATGATCGAATAAAAACGGCGTCAACGATGGCTATGAAATGAAGATCGCTGTCATTTTATATGTAAAATTATATGGGAAATGTCATCGATCGTCATTTCCAAGCCAACCGGACGCCGTTTTTTTTCGATCATACGGTATTATAAGGTAAGGATAAAATATAGATTAATTAATTCAAAAAGGTTAATTATGTACACAAATAAAAAAACAGTAAGATTTCAGGACTTTATCGTTAACAATGGCAACGCTGGCCGTATTCCGAAAACACGTTGAGATGACAGTTAGCGGGTTTACCTCCCACTCCAAATTTTTAGGCGGGATTCATTTTGTCGCTTCTCTACGATTGTTCTTCTCTGACACCATTTCAACTTTGAGCGTCTTGATGGATCGTGTGTCGCCATATTCATAAAAGTTATAGTTATTCTAATGTAACTTGGAACTATTACCTTGGTATATTATCAATGTATTTAAATTAATTTATATAATCTGGGAAAATAAAACGATATAGAATTATTCTAATAGGAATATAGTATATGCGCAAACTTTTTATTAATTTCAAGAACACTATCTGCATTATTAAACATAAAAAAATAATTTTGAAAATAAATTTTATGTGTCGATTTAATGGTATTTTTTCTATATTCTCAGATATAGAAAAATAGAAATATTTGTCTGCTGGCACTCGCTTATGTCGTCTCAGTGTTGTCACTAATTGACTAATATTAAGTTTTAAGATGACACGATTTTTAAGTGCAGTAACTGGTAGTTTAAATAAAGTGAAACTATATTTACATAAATTCGGGAGGATATTTTCAGACTTAGTTTTTATCAAATATTAGGAGTTTGTCAAAATTGAATGTTAACATGTTGTTAGAATTAGTGTTGAAATTTTATCTCTATCTTAGAAACTAAAAGTATATTTACATGATCCTGAAGAATATATTTATTAAATAGAATTATACCTATATACAAGTTAGGACGCCTTAAAGTAGATAATGATACGGCTGTTGTAGTGCCTATACTTAATTAGATTTGTTTATATATTTGTCTGTGATTTTCATATACAAGAATAAGCTGTTTAAAGTTTTAAAGCTTTGTTGTGTTTTTGCCGACACAAAATAATTCGTTATATAAATTCAATGTAAACTTTTAGGTTATGTCATATTTGAATGAATGAATTTCTTTATCTGTCAAAGTCTAACTGTGCTCGATAATATACCACATGATAAAAAAAAACCGCATTAGCGATAGCTATTAAACGAAGATCGCTTTCATTTTATATGTAAAATTATATGGGAACTGTCATCGATCGTCATTTTAAAGCAGGGTTGGCATGATATATATATATATATATATATATATATATATATATATATATATATATATATATATATATATATATATATATATATATATATATATATATATATATATATATATATATATATATATATATCAATGATATATATCGGATATATATCATTGATATATATCATGATATTTATACCTTGATATATATCATGATATTTATAAAAAAATAAAACTCAACAATTAGAAAGAAAAAAACAAAAAAGATAATTTTGATTAGATCTGGGACAATTCAAATGCACCAAAAACTTTGCCAGAAACAGCATGAATTGATTCTGACTCCGACGAATCTGACGATGATTTACCATTAATGAAATTAATAAATCAAATATAAATTTGTTTGTTGTTAGTTTTAGAATATCTGTTTATTTTTTTGAATTTCCGTTTATTTTTTAGAATTTCCATTTATTTCTTAGAATTCCTGATTATTTTTTAGAATTCCTGTTTATTTTTTAGAAGTTCTGTTTATTTTTTTAGAATTTCTGTATATTTTTTATATATTTTTGTTTTAATGTTGTTCCTATTATGTACAAAAAACAATAATTAAGTTGAAATAAAAATATTTGCTTGAACTGTAGATTTTACTTGATACTAAACGCAGTTTTACGTAAAAAATAAAAAATAAATAAATATCAAAACTTGATATATATCGGATATACATCCGATATTTGATATTTATATAAATATCATGATATTTGCCAACCCTGTTTTGAAGCCAATTGGACGCCGTTTTTTTTTCGATCATATAGTTGTACCATACTCCCGCCTTATCATATTGTACCATACAATCGAAAAAAAAAACAGCGTCACTCAGAGTAGGATTCTTGTTACCTTAGCTTTAAAAAATTATAACTAAAATAAGTTGCTGCACTTAAACTAGTTGTTTAGAATTAGGTGAAATTATCTATTTCTACAGTTGCCATATTATATTTTCGATTTTTTATCGAAGTTTATTCTCTTAAGGTGAGTTTATATGAATCCGGTATGCGTCGTCTGTAGTCGTTTTTTTGCGATTCCATTGGTTTATTTTAGAAATAACAGATGAGATTTCAGGAGGATTGGAGAAACGCATTACAAAATCATGATGCATATAAGCTCATACTTACTGTTATGGATTTAAGAGTGTAAGAACAGGCAAAATTGAGCTTTTTGTTCCCATTATAGCAACCTTGCCTGTTCCTCTTCCGTTAGAGTGGGTTACTTAATCTTATTAATTGTTACTAAAATCCTTTAAAGAGAGAGATATATATTTTTAGAAATATATAAAGGAGGTGATTTTTGACTTGGAATTGAATTTAGAGTGAAGGTCTCTATGTGAAATTATTTTTTTGTACAATGTATTTTAACAATGTAGTTATATACGCTTTTTATGTTTTTTTGTGAATTGAAATATTTTTATCGCAGGAGGATAGCTAGTACAAATCTTTTATTTTTGATTTTTCGTTTATTTGATTTGTCATACGTTAGCGTTTAAGTTAGTGCAATAAGTTAAATAGTTTTTGTATATAATTTGTCTATATTATAAATATTTTTGGTGCTTCAAATAATATTTTATTCAAACATATTTTCACTATTATCGTGTTTTTATTGTAATAAGAATAAATAGATTAAAATATAAATAACGTGCAATTTACCAATTTTATTCATGAAAGAACATTAGTACTGAAAATCGCTCTTGGATAGTTGATAAACAATTATATCGATTAGACTTAAAAAATCTTTTAGACAATCTCTAACTTTTAGACCATTTTAGATTTAAACAAAAGTAAAATATTGTAAGTCATTTTTGGCTGCTTTCAAATAAAGTTTAATGTAATTGTATTTGTTTTTTTTTTATTTATTTTAAATAAGGACAACTGTATACCGGGTGCGTCTCAAAAGTGGCTCATCCCTATAACTTTTTATTTTTTCAAATAAAAATGACATTTAGTATGTTAGCATATGACATAAATTAGGATTGATTGACGTATTCAGTTATTCTGAGTCACTTCCTGTTTCACCAGAACGGCTACAACTTTTGATTTTTAAATGGCACCCTCGGTATTTTTCTCCTTTATCGATAGAAAATGACGTCCTGAATAGAATGACATATCATAAGTCAGCTTTTGGCATTTTCGCTTTAAAAAAAATCGTATTTTAAATTTCAATCTAGAGTGCCCATGGTTGTGTTAAAAAAAATACTAATTTTTAATCAAGGAACATTGGAAAAATAGATTTAGAATTAGAATAAGTGGGAGGGGGGTTAATTTCTGCGACTTTAGAGATCTATTGTGTTCCCCTTTCTTGAGTTATAACTCATCATACAGTCCCAGGACTTCCTACGGAGACCCGTGTCCCTCACAGTCGAGGAGCTACGACCCAGGCCGGGTAGACGAAACGGTAGCTTGTGTCGCCTGTTGGGTTTAGAGGTAGGCTCCCGACCCTTAAATAGATTTCATGGTCTAATGTTTTTCGTATTGTACCCGGCCGTTTAAAAGATGCCCAAATCGTATTTTTAATCATATCTCAATTTTTTCAAACGGAGTGAGGGTGGCTTATTAACATATTTGGAAAAAGCATTTTTTTACGAATAATTTAGTACCACACATTTGATATTTCGAGTCAAATTGTCGTTATGAACCGCATGTTACAATTTCAAATAAACCATAAGAGAAAATGTCAAAACTTTGACATGATATGTCATTCTACTCAGAGTGTCATTTTCTATTGAATAAAGTAAAAACAAATTGAGGAGGCAGGAGGATTTAAAAATCAAAAGTTGTAGTTATTTCCGGTGAAACAGGATGTGATAAAAAACAATTGAATACGTCAATCAATCCTAATTTATGTCATACCAAATCTCATTTTTTTTTATCTGAAAAAAATAAAGAAGTTATAGGGGTGAGACGCTTTTAAGACGCACCCGGTATACCTCAATATTATTTTCAGTGTGAGAATATCGTCACTAAAATAAGACACTATAAATTACAATACAACAAGATCTAAAAAACGGCACTAGAACGGACTTAGAAATGAATATCACTGTCATTTTATATGAAAAATTATATAGTAAATGACACCAATCGTCATTTCCGAGCCAACTTATCGCCGTGTTTCTTTTAATCCTATGGTAGATAACATAACCACTTAATCCGATTATAGTTGAGGATTGGAAGCTTTGGTGTTACAATAGCAAAGTAAAGTAATTCACGTTACACCTAAACGCTTTACTTCTGCACTGTACGCGTGTTTCGCTAACCATGTTAGCATCATCAGCAGATGATTAAAACTAAACTAATATCTACAAATTGAGCGTGTACATAGGCGCTCAATTGGCACTGAATGGGCATGACAAATCTAACTAGAGCAATAGGAACAGAGAACTCGAAGGAATCATCACCATCATCATCATTTAGCTTATACCGTCCACCGCTGAACAAAAGCCTCCCTTAACTCTAGCCATTTCCTTCTATTTTGTGCCACTTGAATCCAGTTTCCAGCCACCCTCTTAATGTCATCTGTCCATCGACTAGGAAGTCGTCCTCTGCTTCTATAGGCCTCGTGTCTCGGTCTCCATTCCACAAGTCTCTTTGTCCACCGTCCATCTGTCATCCTAGCCACATGTCCTGCCCAATTCTATTTAAGATGTAAGACAGATATCACCGCATCTCTTACTCCTGTTCGATTTCGTATTGTAGGTATTTTATCTCTGAGTGTAACTGGGTATTTTATCTCTGAGTGTAACACCCAACATAGACCTTTCCATTTTCCGTTGCATGACCTGTATTCTATGGATGTTCTTTTTTGTCAAAGTAAGCGTTTCAGCTCCATACGTGAGGACAGGCAAGACACACTGGTTAAAGATCTTTCTTCTTAAACATATGGGAATATGTTTAACCTATGTTAAACATATGGGAATATGTCAGATCTCAGTATATGCCTTAGTTTGCCAAATGCCGCCCACGACAAACCTATTCTTCGTAGAATTTCGTGGGTCTGATTATCCCTTCTAATACCGATCTCATGCCCTAAGTATTTATATATATGCACTTGTTCCAAAGGTATGTTATTAATGTTTAAATTTCCACTTAGTACTACTTGATTATTTACACTTGGTACTCGAAGGAATATTGGAAAGGAAATTGTGTTCATATGCTCTTTATATTTATTAATTTTGAGTCTCTTATATGCATCTAATTGCCTGTAATATACCGGGCGACTACGAAATCGTTGCATATACAACCATTTTTATCGTGTTATTATTTATTACTAATATTCTGACAATTTATGATTTTCAAGGTATAAATAAATAACGAGAAACATCAATTTATAAACACATTTTTATTATGTATAACATACATTTTTCTTGGAATTTGTCATAAACAGATCCACTCTAACATTTCATTGAGACATTGACATTTGTTTTTATAATACAATTTATTGTGGACATTATGAAACCTTTATATCTCTTACAATTTATTGTCAAAGTACATGTCAAATAATTAATTGAAAGAGTCTTAAGTCCGTCCTCTACGTATGTCTTTGTAAGTGTCCAAAATGTATTTACCATTTTCCTAACCTTAAATTTTCAACTATTCTTATAGAGTAAATAACCGAACGATTTTAAACCGTTATATTTCATAGAATGCGTGTCCAATGTCTAGTACTTCCGTTATAACCTTATATCTTCAACTAAGCAACAACTTTTTATATTTATAAACTAAGTTATATAAAATGTAACAAATCACGTCAAAATTCAACAACAAAAATAAAACACTATGAAAATAAATAATATAACTAAAAATTGATCTAGATAATCTGTATAAAAAATATTGTATTCTTTTCTCGATAATACACAATGTATGTGTATGGCTGTGTGACAGTAGTGCCTTTTTTCAAATCGAGTGGTGAATTAAATAATATGAACTCTATTAATTTGAAGTGAGGTATTCTGTAAGTTCTACATTTCTACACCACTTTTTATTGCTAAATCGCCCTGTACATAAACGAAACGTTATTTCAAAGCTCCGATTTACGTCTCATTACATTTCCGAACATCATTCAAATACCTACAGCAAACTAGTTTTACAGACAAATATCACCATCGTACAAACTCTTTATATTCCTCATTAACAGACACCCGTTTGATAGTTTCATAACCTAAGATAATGCTAAAACTAAACGTGGCAGATTGTACGAGTCTGGCGCTTAGCCCCTTCGTGAACATCCTCGGCCCTTCTTCCCTCCACAGGTCTCTAAATGCTTCGCCCATCGATTCTAAACGCTGAACTTGTAACCGGGCTCGAACTATATCTAACGGATTTGTTATAATGGTGGTTGTGAAGCCACCCATTGTGCCTGCTATTGTTTGAATAAAGAGATGGGAAACTGATGTTGGGATAACCTTGAGCAGTTCATCTGCAAAATATTTTATCGATAAAATTTATTAAGGACAGGTTAAACCAAACAAAATGCTATTATATAATATAAATAATTATAATTTATGATATTGATCTTTCCTATATTATGTTAATAAAGTGTTCTGAAAAAGCTCCATATCAGGTTTTCTACAGGGTGGTCCGAACCGCATATTCTGCAGATAAAAATGAGTAAAAAAGTTCTTATAAATGTATGTCCTAAAATGCTTAGTTTCGGAGATACAGGGAGTTGAAGTTTCATTTTTATTACGATTTTTTCCAAATAATTTCTAAAATTACGTCAATATTTAGATGAAAATTGGCGTCTGGCAGTTTTTTGACATGAGAAATTTGATTTTGATGTCAATATGACTCCTATTTGCAGGGGGCGCCACCCAAGGACTGCTCATTCTGCCAAAAGTGTTAGCCAGGTGCATGCGAAAACTGCTCGCTTTGTGACGTCATTGTAGTCCTTGTCATGGTTACTAGTTCTATTACTAGTCCAACCAATAATGCACGTGTGTGTATTATTGGTTGCCGGATGCAAAACGTTCATTATTTAGTTTATTTATTTAAACACTTTAGATGTATGCAGTATAGAAAATTAACTGTATAAATCGTATTAAATACTCGGATAATGCATTTTTAAGAACAGCAGTTCCCAGCATCACCTTTTTCAGGCATTCTTTTTAGAATACTTCCATATTTTGCTTTAAAATAATTAATAAACAATATCGTAGGCACTTGGTAAGCACTTTGTCACAATCCACCACACAAAATGAACGTATTTAAACACTCTATAGCTCTAAAAACTTTAAAAACACCCTTTTCACATTTAAAATTGACAAAATAATTATCTCAAAATTTCTCAGCTGTTTTTTTATAAGTTTACCATAGGCAACTAATAATACACACTATCATGACAAGGACTACAATGACGTCACAACTGTCAGCTGAAGCGCGGGAAGAGGCGAACGTACGTCTTATGAGGACGAGCAATCCTATTAGCTTAGCCTATTAGTTTATCGTTCTTGGGCGCCACCTACATGTGTTTTAACTGTTTTGAAGAGTAATAACTTTTTGTCTTTACCTGTATAAAACTACTAGGTGAAAAAATATACATTTCCGTGATTTTTTACGTCAAAATGTCTTGGTAAAAATTGCTACGAGCAACCGTTCTCAAAATATTTAGAATGAAAATGGCCAATACATATCATTATTGACAAAAAATAAACATACATATCGAGTAGATAGTTTATTTGACTGAAATGATAAATTGTTTTATTTTTATTTTAAACTTTTTATTTTTTTTAAATTAATGATGAGAAAAATTATGATAAAACAGTTTCTGTTGAACTTTTGGCACAAAAACATTTCAAATTTATGATTTCAGTCTAATAACTATTTGATCAACATGTTTAATTTCTGTCGTTGACGACGGGTATTGATAGTTTCGATTCCAAATATCTCGAGAACCATTACTCGTATAGCGATTTTTACCAAGAGACCTTTTTATGTAAAAAACGTCGTAAATGTATGTTTTTTTACTCAGTAGTTTTATACAGGTACAGACGAAAAGTTATTACTCTTCAAACCAGTTAAAAAATATGTAGGTGGCGCCCTCTACAAGTAGGAGTCATATTGACATCAAAATGAAATTTCTCATGTCAAAAAACTCCCAGACACCAATTTTCATCCAAATATTGACGTTACTTTAGAAATTATTTAAAAAAAATCGAAATAAAAATAAAACTCCTACACTCTGTATCTGCGAAATAAAAATTTTAGGACACACATTTATACGAACTTTTTTTACTTATTTTTATCTGCAGAATATGCTGCTGAAGTTTCCGGAATACAGATCGGACCACCCTGTAATGAGAATTTTAGTCTAATCTTTTGATTATGCATATTTAACACTTTTGGAACAAGAAAAAAATAATTTAAGTATATCCCTGAAAAAAATATCAATCTACCTTGGTAAAAGTGATAAAATCCCCACCAAAGAGCCGAGTTTGGCACATAGGCTGCTAAACTGGCCCAGTATCCTCGATAGAATCCACTAATACCGTCAACATTGAATATTTTCCTAGCCACATCAATCGTGAGAGCTAGTTTGCTTCTATCTGGATTACTATTAACACCCAAAGGGTTGAATGCTATCTAAGAATTTTAAATAAAGACAGGGAATACTTTAATAGAGGTAGAGTTACCTTGTTTTCTTTACTCACTGTGCCTATCATCATAAGATGCTGACTTAGTACATCGAATGGTACAATTATAGTTTGACCCACTAAAGATGCACATCCACCTGCAACTAATGCTCTGAGACGTGAATCTAGATTTTTCTTTGATAATATATGCCTCACCCCTTCGTAAGTAGAGATATAAAATACACCTAAAATATTAAAACAAACTGTTGGATTCAAGTTAAGAGCTACCCACTAACTCATTAATTTTTAACAGGTGATAACATTTACTAATCATCCTTTGAATATCATCAGATTATAAAGGTAGATATACAATATTACTTTAGAACATCTCAGTTAAATTGGTTACTTACCACTTATTATTTGTACTGATGAAATCCAGAATCCCCTATACAAGCCTGAAATACCTTCATATTTGTAAATTTTCCCATAAGCATCAAACATTCCTAAAATACACAATAATTATTTAAACTGATGAAATATATACATAGTTTATATTAAATAGGCTTTACCTGTGTACATATCATTATGCTTTTGTATCTGTAGTCTTGTTTTTATCAATGTCAAGGGATAAAGGGCACATCGTACAGAGAAGGAACTTAGCATTGACAATGGAAAGAATTTGGTTTTGTCCATCATATGCCATTCTATGGTTTTTATGTAACCTTGGCGTTCATTAACTTCTACCGGAATAAAATCCATGTTTAGGAAATACAAACATAGATAAATACTCGATGAACGTAATGTAATAAAGGTCAAGTTTCCATGATAAACTTGGGGTAAATGTAGGGTTATGTTTTGTAGTATTTAAGAATGACCATCTCAAATAGTTGAAGAATATTTTACAAAAATCTAAAAGAGATATGTAAAATATCAATTTTATTTAAGAACTGTTGTTTTAGAAGTGTTTTACTTACCTTAAAAATATTGTACTATGAACTTGACATTTTTAAAGCTGTGACTTGTGACATCTGGTGATGTCAAAATATCAGGTGATTTTAAGGCCAATCTGCGAAAAAATATTTGAATAAAAATAAATCCTGTACAAAAATGCGATATAGATTTTACAAACTAGATTCAATTAGATATTTCGCGATTCATCCAGGAATTATATATTTAGTCTGATTTAGTCTAATAGCTTAAAAATGCCATAAATCACAAATGTTCGGAATGTTTTATGGGTTGCAGCACTTCAAAACCGTATTGTCAATGGAATGAGTGACATTTTAAGTGAAAGCTGTCATAAAACATCTCCACATCATTCTTTTTTAATTTTTTTTATAATTTTAATCACGACATTCCTTCTGTGAATTAAGTTTGCTTTTGTATAAGTTGTGTTATTCGTTTATGAAAATTAATGTTACTGTTTTATATGTGTTAGTTTTTGTCTGTTTTGTTTTCTAAAATATTGAAATATTGCTGTGTTGTGTTTGGTCCATAAATTCCTTTGGAAGTAAAAGTTAACACTACTGTTTCTCAATGTCCATTCGTCAAGGAATTACAAATATGCTTTTGCTTTCTGCAGTATTAGAAGAAAGCCTCTAGGACAATACTCAATCAAAATGCCGAGAAAAAAATGAATGATGCTGATAGCTTGGTCAGTACAGATGTCCTTTAAATCAGTACTAACAGCAGTTAAATGGTTTTTGGGATTTTGGGTCATATTTTACTAAAGTACAACACTAGCTATTACGGTGGTGGTTCATATTGTTTTAGAATTCCTATAAGAATAGCAGTTCTAAGTTTGAAAAACTGTTAGAAGTATATTTATTCAAAACACCTAATATTTATTTATATTGGTGCTCTGGTAGTTAATTAATAAACTACCTACAGTCTATTGTATACTATTTGAGGCAATATTGTACCAAACTTACTCTCTCATCGCAAAGCAGTACGTTAAATTGTATTCTTACATGGGTAGTAATAAGCTTAAGCAATAAGATGTATTTTTAGATCTATTATATGGAATTGAATAATTAATTGGAATTTTGGAATAAGAATATAACAGTTTTATGATATCATAGATGACTTAATTTAGTTTCAGTCTATGTAGTATAACTGAATGCATAAATATGTTTGTTACTATTGTTTTACTAGAATATTTTTACAAATTTGTATCTACCCCTTTATGATAAAATCAGAAATGATTAAATTTTTATCCTTTAGGCATATAATTTTATTCAATAAAAACAAACGATTCTTTTAAGATTTGGTTGTATCTTGTATCACAGTCTGTGCTTGTATATATTTATTTTATGCAGTCAAGTTTTACTTTATTAACGTGATGTTAGAAGAGAGAATATTAAAGTGATTATAATATAAAATTGACTATAATATTCTCATGGGTATGAGAAAATGTAAGTACCTACGTAATAATATTTCTGCCTAATAATTTGATATTTAGAAAGTGCGCGCGTTAGGATAGGGTTTATGCGAAAACTCTCCGAGGCAACGTTGCCAATATTACTTACCAAAATTATTGGAAAATCTTTGGAATCTTTTTGTGTTGGAAAAATAATCGGTATTTTTTTTAATTGGCCGTTTAATAAGCAGAGACATGATTGTTGCTTAAATTTTTAAAGTTTACGTAGCAATTTGTTGTCCAATGACCCAGGAAAGATTTCGACAGACAACATTCAGAAAATGAACGAATTACAATTTGCTTGTGAATTAAAATAACAAAATGACAAAAGACGGAACTGTCACTGACAGGTGATGGACAGGCTATATCTATCTAGATATACCCTTATCTTATGTAACAAGTCGGATTTTGAGCTCTCTTGAAGTTCTGATCATAAAACTATCAAGACTTGTGCTATCATCAGAGCCTATTCATTAAGCTGGATTTTGATGACTCATATACTTGTCAAACATTTGTTATGAGTATACAAAATTTCTAAGTTTTTTATTATAGTAGCTACAGATGCCCGACGCACTATTACCGGATCCTGTATATGCCATTATGCCAAATACAAATGTACCGGGTGGCCAACTAAGAATGGACGTATGTATCTCAGAAACTACTTATCGTATAATTATGGGAAAAAACTTCTAAAGTAAATCGACCAAGAGAAATCGCTGGAAATTATTTTTAAGTTCGAAAAATTTCCGCTGGGGGGCGTTTCTCTGATTGCCAATCAGAAAACAGTTTTTTTTTCTCAAAAATATGCAGATGAACAGGTATTTGAAATATTAGAATTGTAATTATCGAGAAAATGTTTTTTTTTAATATGGAGTATTTTGCTTTATCTCATAAAATAAAGTGGTGGGGAAAGGCTGCTTTTTATTAAAATAAGGATAACTCTGGTTTAGGTTAGCCGATTTAAACAAACTAGGGCTCGTTTAAAAGAGATTTTCTTCCTTAATGATCTCCAGTATAAATTTTGATTTCGTAATTTTTTTCGTGGTAGCTAGAGGGCGCTGTTTGACATCATAACAGATATTGCGCTTTTGCATAAAAAAATTAAATAGGAGGCTATATTTCTCTTTAGCACAGTAAAATAGAGTAAAAAATTTCCAAAATATCAGCACAAACCGCAAGTTTCTACCTTCTCTCTAACCTGAGATATTAAGAGAACAAAGCTCTAGCCCCCGAAAAAAATTACGGAAACAAAATTTATACTGGAGATCATTAAGGAAGAAAAGCTCTTTTAAACGAGCCCTAGTTTATTTAAATCAGCAAGTTTAACCTTCCCCCACCATTTTATTTTATGAGATAGAGCAAAATACTCTATAAAAAAATTACAAATTTCTCGGTGATTACAATAGTAATATTTAAAATACTTGTTCACCTGCATATTTTTGAGAAAAACCCTGTTTTCTGATTGGCTATCAGAGAGACGCCCTCTAGCGGACATTTTTCGAACTTGAAAATAATTTCCAGCGATTTCTCTTGGTCGATTTACTTTTTAGACTTTTTTACCCAAAGTTATACGATAAGTAGTTTCTGAGATACAGCCGGCGTCCATTCTTAGTTGGCCACCCGGAACAAGTACACGAGTCGTCCGAGTCTGGCTTTAGATTACAAACCAGAAATCGGAAATTAAGATAAAAACCAGCCCATCCGGCAACAGCGCACTCCGTTCACGCGCCTCATTTGTTTCGATTCGGAAGCGCGGCGCGCCGTTTTCACCAGCAGCAGGGGGCAGTGAGTTGAAAATTTACCAGGCGACTAGATTATTGAAAAGGGGGCGGCCGCTGCTCTTATTTACCCCCGGGGAACCCATGAGAATCGCTTCCCTATCGATCGGGAGCACGCGACCATCGCCGATGTGTCATCTACTTCAACCCCTTTAGTTAGTCCTCTCCCCTCAGTTAGTCCATCGCTCGCGACAAACATCGTTATTTTTTCGTTAAATCGTGTTTTTATCAATTAAAGTGCCCATTTTATACGGTTTATTCGCTATCCTCATTCAGTTTGTGTGATTATACGGTGTTTTTATCGATGCTTTCCGATTTAAAGGTCGAATAGTTCAGTTTTTTTTGGCGAGCGAAGCGAGATATGTTGCTGCCCAGCGCCAACTCGAACTGTCCCATGGGATTTCAGAACGATATTTATCACGGCGTGGCGGAAAAAACGAAATTTCTGACTTTGAAGTGTACGAGAAAAAGTAAGAGCAATCAGACGCGCAGCAAAAGCGCCGAAAGGACCAAATTTCGGTTTTGTGCCTGCACGGGACCCAGAAAAAACAAAAAGTCCGCCAAGTGGTATGTCAAGGTAGGTTAGGGATTGAGCTATTTTTTATATCTAGTTATTTGTTGCGCTATAGGCGTTTGGCATTTAAAATTGATTTTTTATTAAACCATCTATGCGTGTATGTCTCGTAGCACATGTTGAAATAATTAATAATTATTTGAATTGGTGATTGGCAGACTGTTTTAATAATTTACAGCCGAATTGGATGTAATAAATAATATATTATGCCCAGATGTACAGTATGTCCCCGGATTGTCTTTACAAGAGGATTTTTTTTATTATTGACATTTTGAGAAGAATTAATTTTTTACAAACATTTTTGCTTGTTCTAAAATGGTTAATCTCGTTATACTTTTCCATATTTCTTATACCGTTTTAGAGAAAATTAAAAAACAACGAAAAAATAGTTGCTTTTTTTCTTAATCCTAAAAATCAAAACGCGTTGTAATTATAATGTTGTTTTTGTTCTTTGAGAGATTGTATTGATAGAATTTTAATTATCAAGATTTTTTGCTGTTTTAAAATGTTATTAATATGATACTTTAACAACAGAAAAATATGACGTTAATCAAAATTAATAAAAATTCAAAGAGTGAAATTGAAATTATATTGCCATAGAAACGCATTTTGATTTTTAGGACTTGAATGTTTAGAAAAAATTTACGGATATTTTTATGTTTTTTTTTTATTTTCTCTAAAACGGTATGGAAATTGGGAAAAGGCTAAATGGGATTAACTATTTTAGAACAAGCAAAAATGTTTATGAAGAGTGCAGTTTTCTCAAAATGTCAATAATAAAAAAGTTTTTCCTCTTGTCAAGAAAATCTTGGGACATACTGTATAATTATTTATGTAAGAGTGGAATTTTTATTCTGATATTTTAAAAAAAAACTTTCCTAAAACGTTGACATTTTTTTAATTATGTATAATTTTTTTTGTAAATATGTCCTAGGTTCAACTGATTAAGTTGGCTATCTTATAATAATTAGCTAATAATAATCTAACTGATTTATATGCCTGTTATAAAGGTCAAACTTATTTGATTACCCAATGTGATAAAAATAATAAATTATAGTTTACTTTTCTAGGAATATAGGCTACTCAAAACAAAAATTTTGCAATAATCAAAATATCTTGATTTTTTTATATCAAAAGCCTCGTTCCATTTGAGAAAATCGAGTTAACCGGCCAGGAAAAGATACTAAAAACATTAGATAATCAAATCTATTTTTCAAGGCTTCTTGATTAAAAATTAGTGTTTTTAACACAGTTTTTTAATCAAATCAATTAATGTTTTAATACGATTTTATCTAAGCGAAAATGTCAAAAGTTGACATATGATACGTCATTCAATTCAGAGTGTCATTTTCTATCGAATTAAAAAAAAAATACTTGGGGTGCCATTTAAAAATCAAAAGTTGTAGTCATTTCCGGTGAAACAGGAAGTGACTGAAAACAATTTAATACGTCAATCAATCCTGATTTATGTCGTATTACTAACGTGCCGAATCTCGTTTATTTATCTGAAAAAATAAAAAAGTTATAGGGGTGAGCCACTTTTGAGATACACCCGCTAGATGGTATGAAATTAAGGAAAAATGATAAATTTAGACTTGATTTTGTTCCTTTAAAGTGGTGATATTCTGAAGAACACCCCTAAATATACAGTATGGTCAAGAAGAAATGCGTCACTTTTATACACAAGCGATCGGCATTTCTATAAAGCCTGATTGTTTTTTTTATCTTACTTATTATATTATAGGTTATAGGTGTATTATTTCAAATATTATGCTATTTTAAAATTAAATGATATTGCCATAGCAACGCCCGATTTTTAGGAAATTCAACCATGGTTTTTTTTAATTTTCTCTAGAACGGTATGGAAATTTGAAAAAGTATAAACGGGATTAACCATTTTCGAGCAAGTAAAAATTTTTATGAAATGAAGGTTGCATTTTTCTAAAAATGTCGATAATGAAAAAGTTTTTTCTCTTTTAAAAGACAATCCGGGGACATACTGTATAGTATGACAACTCATTTTTTTTATTATTCTTAAAGTGGTATTGGTCTTAAAATTCAAGGCAATACAACACAAATAAGAACTTTATTATTTTTAAAGTTCTTATATATATCTATTCTAGAATTTAGAGAAAATATTCGTTTTTTAGAATGCAAAAGATAATATAATACCTCTAAAATCAAAACTACATATTTTTAGTATCTACATCCATATAAATTGTGGTATCTGCATGTTAATATTAGATAAATATCAGTGAAATTTTTAATGAAATGTGTATAACAACATCATATATTTTCTTTGTCTAAACTTTTGTCAATTTATTATATTCGAATAAATTTTATAACTTTATCTTTTTGTTTCTAATAGAAAAAAAATATATAGTATCTATGTATCATTGTAGGGAGTACTTATACATAAGTGATAAATTGTATTTTTTTTTGTTTAAAATTAATTGTTTAAACATCAGATTTTTTATTAACGTAAAATATATAATTATTAAGCCTTGTATTTATAGATATGTATAAATACGGCAATATAAAATTAATTTAGATATTTCATTATTTTGTTATTATATCTGAAAAATAGCTGCAATTTGGTACAAAAAATAAAAATCAGCTTTATAAGCATTATTATTAACTGTGTTTTAATTTTTCACTTGCTTAATGCCAACAAATTAAATTATTAAAATGTTCTAAATTATTAAATTATTTTGCAGTAAGTGGCTGCGACGTTAAATATAACATCTAGTTTTTATTTTAAACTAGTAGTGGGAACTATCGAATGAATACTATCGAAACATTCGATAGTTGCAATTCATTCGAATAATTCTATAGCTAGTAAAAAAACATTCGTTGAAAACTATTCGAATAAAAATTATCGAATAGATGCGTCATCTGCCTTGAAATATTGTATTCTAGTAATTCGGCAGCAAAAACCATTCATTTATAAAATTCATTCATTTAGAAAATTAATTTATTCGTCAGGATCGATTATAATAAAATATTAACTGGATTTTAGTTGTCGCCCGGCGACGTAGGTTTCTTTCCGAAAAACCCGGTCGGTGGCAATGCTATGAAAGAAGCCGGCATCTTTGATTTTTTGTGGAGTCAGATAAAGATAAGGACACATTTATTCGTCACGAAAAATTATAATAAATATAATAAACGAGGCAAAACAAAAAACACTATAAAAAATAAATTGACAATAAAATCATTACACAGTATTTAGCACAATTGTTTAAAAATATATTTTTCCCGGATTTGTTCAGTAAGATTCCGAAATCGATGTGATCTGCGTACTAACACCCCCAAATAACCAGGCAAACCAATGCATTAACACCCTCCAAATAACCAGTAACTAATTTGTTATGCATTACCACCCTCCAAATAACCAGAATATCTAACCTAACCATTTTTTTGCATTAACACCCCCAAATAACCAGGCTAAATTTGATGTCAAAACACCCTCCAAATCACCATCCTATTTAACCAAATGCATTAACACCTCCAAATAATCAGGCTAACCAATGCATTACCACCCTCCAAATAACCAGAAACTATATAATATTAACAACAAATGCATTAACACCCCCAAATAACCAGGCTAACCAATGCATTAACACCCTCCAAATAACCACATGCTAACCAATGCATTACCAAAATTCCAAATAAAATAATTTATATTCAATACTTTATATTACCCCCCAAATAATAATAGGCTAACCAATGCATTAACACCCTCCAAATAACCAGGCTAACCAATGCATTACCACCCTCCAAACTTTTTTTAAATTGGCACGTGTAAAACTTTCAATTTAATTTTTCACCCCATAGTCTGAGTTCGATAACCATTTACTTAACCACATTAATTAATAGGCTAATTAATTGAGCCTCAACAAAACTTCATTGATTACGCATCGAAAATACAGTATATATTAAAAAACTTATATTTTCGTAGTTCAACTCTGAAAAATCCGCAAAATTTTATTTCAGAAAATTTCTTTTAAAATAATCCACACTAATATAATAAGCTATTAGACAGAATTTTTGTTGCACTAAATCACATAACTTACCGTTTTGAGTCCCTCCACAACAACACTTTATTTCAATTAAAGAAAATACTATATAAAGTAATTTTATTGACAACGTCGCAATATTCGCATGCGAAGCACCATAGATGACATACCGATGATCGATTAACTGTCAATTTGGAAGTCATAAAATTGCTAGCTTGAGCTGATGTAATCAAATATATTTTCTAAATTTTTATTTACAAAGCAGATTCGTTACATTTTTGTGCTTAAATTAATTAGATCATTCCACGTCTATATAAGGTAATAAAGTACTAATATGTGATGTTTTACTGAATCCGTGTAGAAAATTTAACATATTTACTGTCCGTCGCCTGTACCTAAAATACGTTTTTGCCGCTTTTTAAAGATAAAACACATTCATCCAACAATTTTTATGCTTAAAAAATATTCAGTTTAAGATAATCTTGCAAAAAAATCCCAAAAAAGTGTTAAAGCGTTTGTGCACCAGAGCCGATTTTACTTTTGAGCCAATTTCAAATTTTTGATGCATCCCTGTATATCAAGCAATCGTAATTAAATTTTGATTGCTGAGACGCACACTAATACAACTGTTAAAATAAGAGTAAAAATACTGAAATAAGAATTTGAAGTAGTTTACTTACCTTCTGTAGTGCTGCTAATACCTTAATCGTTTTTATTGCTCGGAAAATTCACTGGGTAAGATACTCTGTAAACTTTGGTTGTCGGAACACGAGTAGATACATCATTATTTCTATAAAGCTGGCGAACATATTTTAGCGCATTTATAAAATATGTTTAATGACTACATTAATTAAAAATACATGGGATTTCAAAAACCAATAAAATATTAACAAAATTAGGAATATTTTTGCTCAAATGAAAAGATTCATGACAGTGAAAGTTGTCTGTCATTTCAGTTCACGTATACATTATATTTTCTGTCATTTTAAGGATATCGTCTGTCAAACTCTTTCCTTACCTTACATGTTGGATAAATTTTTCTGATATGGAGTTTTCTAAAACAGAAGTAATTGCGAATCGTAACCTGCCAGGTTATGACAATTTGAATCCTCTTTGATTGAACGCAATGTTAAAACTTATTACGATTTTTTTATGCTGAAAAACCCAGAAATCAACCCGCCACAAGGGTATAGAAATAGGTATAGTAATTGTTAATTAACTGATATAGAGTCGATTGCGTGTCGCAACCTATTATGTTATGATGGGATGTCCCACTTCAGATATACATCTAAATTGATATTTCTCTTAAATAGACATTAATAAATATCAAGTCCTACCAAAATACATCAGAATTTTTTTCTAAAAATAATGTTTATATCCTACATTGCACGAGTCTATTTTTCAGTATAATTTGTATGAATGAAGATTTATTGAAAATTATAGGAAACTAGTGTGTACCCGCGACTTCGTTCGCGTCGGATTAATCATTTGTAATGGTGATGATCAAGCAAAGCAAGAATTTCCATTAACATACAAACTAAGATAAAATTTTCTTACATTTATGTCAGCATGAGAAAAAACAATATGGCGATATTATTATATAACTTGGTATAATATTTGAGGGGTAGTTTCATCTCGTTGGAATTTGACTTTCGAAAAATCCGTTTGCCAAAAATAAGCTTTTACGTCAAGCAGTTTAAGCAGAATCGTGATTAATCAATTACCCAACTTTTTGGAACACCCTGTATGATTTTTTAAAAATTTCAAAATATGTAAAAACAAAATCAATTATGCGTGTCCAAGTGTTTTCCCGAAAGGCTCGCCGTATTTAAAAACAAATATTGTAATATTTTTGGGTCGTTTTCACCCGCTTGGAATTTGAAATTCGAAAACCCCTCTTTATCGAACCTCTACACCCCACAGTCAATCCGTTTGCCAAAAATCAGCTTTAAACGTCAAGCAGTTTAAGTAGAATCGTGATTACTCAATGGTTATATTTTATGAAACACCCTGTATAAATTTTAAAAAACCTTAAAATATGTAAAACAAAAAATAAAATATAATTAATAGTTTTTCCGAAAAACTCACCGGTTTTTAAATAAAAAATATTCTAATATTTGAGGGGTGGTTTCACCCCCTTAGAATTCGAGTTTCGAAAAATCCCTTCATATCGAACCTCTACACCCTAAAGTCAATCCGTTTTCCAAAAATCAGCTTTTTACGTCAAGCGCTTTAAGCAGGATCGTGATTAATCAATGACCAATTAATCAATTTTTCGAAACACCCTGTATACATTTTTAAAAAATCTTAAAATATGTAAAAAAAGAAAATAAAATATACGTGTTCAAGCGTTTTTTCGGAAACTTGACCGTTTTTTAAATAAAAATATTCTAATATTTGAGGGGCGGTTTCACCCCCTTAGAATTCGAGTTTCGAAAAATCCCTTCTTATCGAACCTCTACACCCTAAAGTCAATCCGTTTTCAAAAATCAGCTTTTTACGTCAAGCGCTTTAAGCAGGATTGTGATTAATCAATGACCAGATTTTTCGAAACACCCTGTATACATTTTTAAAAAATCTTAAAATATGTAAAAAAGAAAATAAAATATACGTGTTTAAGCGTTTTTTCGGAAACTTGACCGTTTTTTAAATAAAAAATATTCTAATATTTGAGGGGCGGTTTCACCCCCTTAGAATTCGAGTTTCGAAAAATCCCTTCTTATCGAACCTCTACACCCTAAAGTCAATCCGATTTCCAAAAATCAGCTTTTTACGTCAAACGCTTTAAGCAGGATCGTGATTAATCAATGACCAGATTTTTCGAAACACCCTGTATACATTTTTAAAAAATCTGAAAATATGTAAAAAAAGAAAATAAAATATACGTGTTTCAGCGTTTTTTCGGAAACTTGACCGTTTTTTAAATAAAAAATATTGTAATATTCCACCCCCCTTTTTACCCCCTTAGGGGATGAATTTTTAAAAATCCTTTCTTATCTTACGTAAACATCATAAAAGGAATCCCTGTGCAAAATTTCAGCTTTCTAGGGTCAAGGGTTTGGTCTGGGCGTTGATGAGTCAGTATCAGTCAGGACAGTCAGATTTATATATATAGATTTCCCCTGCACGAGTTTTATTATCAGAATATTTTCCAAATCAACAAGATAAGTGGCTTGGTGATTTATGTTGCTCGTTCATTTTTTGAGGAATAAATAAGATTTTGTGAACTCGTCCTTTTTTATTTATAAAATTTAGTTTTTAGATCTGTTAAAGTCCTAAAAATTCATTTTGTTCAGTCTTTGCTATACTGCAGTAAATTTTGTTTTAACTGGTTGAGAAAAATAAAACACTAATAATTCACCACAATACACCAAAACACTTTACATTTGTATTGGAGTAACATGGTTAGCGAAACGCGCGTCCAGTGCAAAAGTAAAGCGATTTAGAGTTTTAGTGTATTGTGATGAATTATTAGTGTTTTATTTTGCTGTTGTAACACCAAAGGTTCCAATCCCCAAGTGTAAAAAAGTGTAATTAGTTGTCTGAAGATTTTTAGTTACAAACTGTAAAAAGCTGTATTAAAGAATATATTCTTTTTAATAGAAATAGGGAATAATATATTTATTTATATTTTATTTTTTCAAAAATTAGTTTTTAGTAGATAAGAAACGAACATAGGTATTTTAACGCATTAAGAAACGATTTTATCATAATTATGTAATAGCAGGAGTGCTACAAAATCATAGTTTGCATTTGATGATGTAAAAACATACATTTATTTAAACATTCTGTGAAATAAGTATATAAATTATAATTCTAAACTTTTTATAATATTAATATTTAGTTATTGCAAAGGTCATTTTTTATGACATGACATGATAATTTTCCGTATTATAATAGTCTAATTTATAGTTTCATTAACGTAAAATATACAAATTATATCAGATAGTGGTAGTTACGTCGATAATTATCATAATTAGTTTAATTTTTTCAAAATAATGATTTATTTGAAGTTAATAAATTTACTTTTTTTTTCGAATGTTATCGAATTTAATAATAATAATATAATAATATATTTATTGTCCCAAAAATTAATGATACATACAGTATGGATTGTCTTTAGAAGAGGAGAAACTTTGTTATTATTGACTTAATAATACCGTTAATACTTTTTTAAATTTCCATACCGTTATAGAGAAAATTAAGAAAAACATCAAAATTAGTTGAATTTTTTATAGTCCTAAAAAGTCCTAAAAATCAAAACGCGTTCTTATGGTAATATAATTTCGTTTTCATTTTTTGACAGATTGTTATTTATTTATGAAGCACAAAATGTATTTGGTTCAATTCTACGGAAAAGGCGTTATCGGAAAATTTGATACTTTAACAACAACAAACAATATGATTTTAATCAAAATTGATAGAGAATTTGATTAAAGATACTAATAATTAATAATTATATCTCATTTTTTTTAGTTTTATATATGTGATTCTAAAAGTAAATATACCTACTACCTTTATTTGTGTATTCTTGATAAGACATATAAAGAAAGTCTGAATTAAAATATTCAAACGCAGACATACATTATTTAAAAGAAACTGGTATCGTAAAGGTCAAACCTGCTAAATTATTTATTTAAATTTAAGGAAATTAAATTTGAATGTCTAATATCCCGGTATATTTTTCTTAATTAGAATAAGTCAGTTATACAACCTATATTTAGCAACTAATTAAAAGTATTTAAGAATTCCCTAGGAAGAATATAACACGCTCAAGTTTACCTTTATTTCAATCGTAGAATCTAAAAATAAAATAATATACAGGGTGCTCCATTTAAAAAATACAGCAATAATATTTTTTACTTATTTGGAACACTCTGTATCTTGTAAAATTATTTTTAAATTGTAGCTCTAATAGTCCTTCAACGAACCAAAAACTTACAATTTGTAAAAATCTAATCGTTTAGCTACAATACTGCCTGTTGTATGTGGTGAACAACCCTGTATATTCAGGTTTTTTACCAATTTTTTTCAAAAGCATGTTTGTTGCAATATTCAGAAAAAATGGTTTAAAAATAAAACGAAAAATATAACCAGCTACAAAGATGCACAAAGGGACACTCTGTATACTAGGTGCGTTTTCAATGTCAGAAATAATTATAGGTACTACCTTTACTTGTTGCATCATTATACCATAACAAATGGGGAAATAGCAGTGGATACAATTTATAAAGATGCGATTTATTTATAAGTAATATTTAACATAATTTATTTCTTACTGAATTAAACTTATATCGTTTTGGTTACGCTAACCATAAATAGAGTCAACTCACTTGGGACATTATTAATGGGAATTAAGAAGCCATACTTCCCTCTACCTTTTATTGGTAACAACAATGAAGTACAATAGAGATTTTGAGTAATAGTATAAAATGAAAATGGACACACATTTAAGAGCAGAAACATGGACACTGAAAGTTCAACAGATGAATCGTCTCGAATCGTTCGAAACATGGATATATCGAAGAATGCTTAAAATTCCATGAACGGTCCATATCACAAATACCGAAGTTTACAACAGAATAGGAAGCTCAAATAATAGCTCAATATAATAAAAATAAGAAAAGCATCATATTTAGGGCATATATTGAGAAATAAAAAATACCACGTCTTATAACTAATAGTTAAGGGTAAAATTGAAGAAAAAAGAGGTCTCGGCAGGAAGAAACTATCTTGGTTGAGAAACATCAGAAACTGAACTCACCTAACTTTTGAAGAACTCATATACATATAACCCAACCTCCACGAAAGAGACGGCACGTAAAGAAGAAGAATTATTGTCCATCGGTGCAAAAACTTTACCCTCAGTGATTAACAGCC